TCTCAAAGAACATCAGTTACATCAATTCAGATTTAATAGATATTTGGTTCCAATGTATATCCCATAACTCCCAGTTGGTCTGAAAAAATATTTTCCTTCTCAGACGGCTGTTTTCTCTTAGAAAATATAAAAGTCAGCAGGTATATAGATGTTTAACTGTGTTGGATTCTGAATTAATTTTTGGCTCTTCACAGGTGGTTACGGACAATTTCTATCATTTTGTTTTTGAACAAACAAGACATGCTTGCTGAAAAAGTCTTGGCAGGGAAGTCTAAAATTGAAGATTATTTTCCCGAATTTACAAATTACACTGTACCTGAAGATGGTAAGTTTCTTAACTAAAGTCTTGTATGATTCAATGATTGTTTATGAGATGGATTAGTGATTAGATAACTTTTTCTGCATTACATTCTGTCCTTAAGCTGGTTTTCCAGTCGTATAAATCATTGACTCTACTCACCTTGTTGCTGGTCATTCTCCTCTCTTTGCTTCCATTTTCTTAGCATTAGAATCTTCTCCAGAGAGAAGAGAGCTACATCTTCCCATAATTTATGCCTTATATTTCAATGATTAATGATTTGTTTGTTCACAATATTCTCAGGAGTATAGTCCAACATCACATTTCAAAAGTATCAAGACTCTGACCTGTTTCTTCAAAGCCCAACTTTTGTTTCCATTCACACACTGATTGTTCCTTTACACTTTTGTATATCAGAGTAGTATCATCACCCTAGCATGGATTATTGATCTTTCTTTCTCTAATATTATAATCACACTCATCTACTTTGAATGTAGCTTTCCTTAATATAGATGGCAGCAAATAGGTTGAATAAATAAGGGGAGGGTATTGTCCCTCTTCTTTGCCATCCTGTCCTAGACCCAGTCTGCTTCACTATATTCTGTCTATATTGTGGCTATTGGTTTTGCGTGAAAATAAAGACACTATGCACACATTTTTAAAATTTATATTGCATACATTTGAATAGATCTATGTTCATTACAGCAACACCAGATGCAGGAGAAGATCCCAAAGTTACAAGAGCAAAGTTTTTTATTCGGGATGAATTTTTAGTAAGTATTGGTGATTTTTTTAGACATTGTGTTAACTTATAAATTTGTTTGAATACAGTGTTTTATTTTTCTATAATTTTTCTTTAATTGTTATAAAAGCAATTCTATCTTGAAACCAGTCATCATTGAATTACAAACCATTATAGTCCATTTTTAACTCATCACATCTCTTTATAAGCTATGCAAAGCATGCAAAAAAAAAAAAGCAGCATGCTACCATAAAATCCTATTTTACTTACCCTCAACATCTTGATTGTGACCATTCATGAAACATTAGCTGCTCATATATTTTTCTGTGTGTTTTTTAGTTGTGAGTTGTAATAAGCTGCAGTGAAATAAACCTATAGTACTATATCACTTTATAGTGGAAAATCAGACTAAGCTTATCTGGTGAGTAGGTTGCAAATTTAACATATTCAGTTTACTGTCTGGTTAAGTTTTAGGCAAGTTGGGGGTTTTATCTTTGGAACATCCGGGCATTCCTTAAATAAATAGGCTTAATGCATAAATTTTTGACACATTAGCTTGAGTTGGTGCTACACTGACCAGTCTTCCCGCATCTTGTTGTCATTTCCCAGAAATGCTTTTATCCAACTTTGTTTTCAGCTACTTTTTCCTTATCTCTTACAGCGAATAAGTACAGCAACTGGAGATGGAAAGCATTATTGCTATCCACATTTCACATGTGCAGTTGACACAGAAAATATTCGAAGAGTGTTCAATGATTGTAGAGACATCATTCAGAGAATGCATCTTCGCCAGTATGAACTATTGTAATTAAGGACACCTTGGAGTCGGTGGTTTTAAGCATCTTTCTTTCTTGGCTTCCTCAGATGAAGTAGAGGAAGAGATATTAGATCCATCTGCCTCCTCAGTTCGTTTACTTTTATTAGACTTTCTAGTCAGCCCATGCTTTAGGGACAATATGTGTGTTTTATTTTTATATGCCACTTCTTTGTCATTCCACTGAAGTCTTTGGCTACCTCTGTTTCCTTTGGTTTTGTTTGTAAAATTTTGTTTATGTTTCATTAATTGGACATAGTCTGCTAATTTTTTTTCAGCAGACTTGTTAGTTCAAGCTGGTATCTGCTAGTTAGATGACACTGTGTCATACCTAGAATGTTTTTGGAGGGTTCCTTTTGTGTCATGACACTGAAGAGTACTTGAGAGAAAGAAAGGGAATAATGCACTTTGCTTCAGAATTAGAAAATACTGTTGGGGATGTATACATGCATGATGTAGCAGCACTATGATATTTATTACACTAAGTTTTTAACGAACTGAGTTGCAGGTCAACTGATGAAGTGACCTCCTCTTCTAAGCCATTGCTGGCCCAGGAATAGAGTAGGTAAGCAATTTTGGGAGGTTTGGAGCTAAGAGTCTCTCTACACCTCAGGCTTTTGAATTTAGAGCTACTTTTTCAGCCTATTGCATTTAGGCAGAAAATTCACCTTCACATACCATATTTCTTCTGTCCGCAAATGATTCAATTAATTTAGATCATTTTTGGACATCAGTCTTCTATGAAAATATAAATATATATATAATATATATATAATATATAATATATTTTTTTTGTTTTACTGCTGGTTTATTATATTGTACAGACTGTAAAGTGTAATATTATTTTGTACAATTTTATTGAAGAAAATACTTGTAGAAGATCTTTGTGCCTTGATTATGGCTGTACCTGTAAAATGAGCTAAGATGTAAGTATGTTTTTGATTGCGCTGTACAGCTTGATGTCAATTCTACCTACAGCAGTGACTGGAGGTTTGAAAAAAACTCTGTAGAGTTTAGGGTTTTTTTCTGATTTATATAAAACGTTCTTTAGTATAAAAATTATAAATTATGCAAATTTTAGTCATATTAACTTTCCAAGTAAGTAATTGCTGCTACTGTGGCAGCAATAGCCTTTCAGACTCAGCTTTAAAAAATGATTTAAGTGTCCAAATTGCAACCTGGTGTTAGTTTCATGGGAATATCTTGCTTTACCTTTAAAACTATGTTCAGTAATTCTTTGGTCATTCATAAACCGTTCACAATTACAGATTGTGAATGTGCAAAGGCACCATTAGATAAGTTTTTTTTTTCAATCTTTGTTGCAACAGCTGCTTTTATTGTGCAAATTGCAAGAAAGAAAAAGGTGTAATCCTTGTGTTTGGCCTAAGAGAATTACAAAATGACGTATTTATTTCTCTTAATAAACAGATCATAGAAAATGGTTTTATTTTAAATATTGTAGAATCATAATGTTTTTTTCAAACTTGAATAATTTATGCAAATGACATTCACAAAATAAGTTGTGGTACAGTTCAGCATAAAAGCAAGAATTGGTGTAGCAATAAGGCATGCCTTTCTCAGTAACTATGAGATTGTTTTATATTTTATACATAGGCATTATGTCAGAGTACAGTTTCCAGTGCCTGAGAAAATCTGTACGAGTATTTAAAATTTGTAGATGCAATAACAAATTCAAAACTTCATAGATTATAACACTTAGCTTTATCTTTGCCTTTTGCTATGAAGATAAATTACTCTTAAAATATTTTGATGGCATAATGTGAAACTATTTTTAAATTAGGAAGGCATGTTTATTGCATATATAACCCCAGATCACTTTTAGAAACTGAGAAACAATTTATCTCTGCAAAAGAATCAGGCTAGTAATCTGTCAAAATACTCTGATTTTAAAGCATTTTAGATCCACTCTGAAACTGGTACTTTGACATACTGTATTCAGTCATAACCTTGTTCTGTTTCCAAGATGATTGAAAGACGTTTATTTTGATATGATGAAGACATACCAGTCTAAAGATTCATATTTCCTCTACAAAGAAAGCAGTGAAAATGTAAACTACTGCCTGTTAAAAAAAGTGGATGGTTCTGTTATTGAAAGGAATGGGGTAGTTATTGTAATTCTATCCCTTCTTCTTTGTTTGCTGCAAATGTCACAGATTATATTCTATTGTTTGGACAATTTTAATCTAATGCCCTCCAAATGGATTTTGTTTACAACTTCCAGAACTCTTTCCAGCATGCCTGGAAATTTTGGGATCTGTTGTCTCAATTCTTAGATGGGCAACATAGCTGAGGAAGGCTAACCTAAACTCTTCTTTACAGAATAAAATTATATTTAAAGTTTATATAAGTAGATGAAGAAAACCAAGTTTATAAATTTCTGCAGCTTAATTTATAATGCTTCTTTAAGTTGCATACTTAAGCACTTTTTTAATGCTATTAATCAGATAGGATTTAAACATTTAGGAATGGAATGCAAAGTTTCTGGTAAGGTTTATTTTTCTTGGGGTAAAATAGTCAGTCGTGCAAACTGAGTCATACCATAAAAACTCTGTGTGAATCTGAACAGTAGTTGTTTACATCTTATTCCAGGAGAAATGTTCAACCAAGCTTCAGTCCATGTGTTCATGGATACAGAGTGCACACCCTTATTCTGAATGTACAAGGGACTTCTTCTCAGTTTTCTACCTGGTTTGCCAATACTCTGCAAACTCATTAGCAGAGGGGTTTTTTTTGTTGATGCTGTCACATGACTACCATCTAAAACAATTTACATCTAATTTAAAAGTGACTCACAAGGGTAGAAAATTATGTCAGCTATTATAATTATGTTTTGCTTCTGTTTTTGGTAATACCTTGCTGTAAAATAACTACATCATGTATTGCTGATATCAAGGAAATGAAGTACCACTTCAGATGGTCACGCAGCAATAACACTTTAAAATTCTTTTTCTATGACAAAGACTGAGCCTCTAACAGCATAGGGCACTAGTGCAGACACAAAAGGAGGCTTGTAGAGCTTAGTGTACAGTTACAAACTTTTAATATACATATTTGATACAAAAAAAAAACTTTAGCAAGAAAACCATTCGTTTGATTGTAGATTACAATATTTTTGTACAGCATGAAGCAGTTACTTTATCCTGTAGTAAAAAAAAAAGTCCTATCAACTGTCTAGAGCTTTCTGTCTGTAAGAGCAGTTTGCCTTTGGGCTAGCAATTCAAGTACACATTTGCTGGCATGAATGTAGTCTGATGGATTGTTCTTTAGCTTTGGTGTGTCAGTGACTGATTCCAAGTGTCTGACTTTTCATAGTGCTTTATATTTAGTGATTAAACGCTGAACAAAATGGTAAGGGGAAAGAAGGGGCTGAAAGTGAGCCAGAATGAGGACTACCAGCACGAATCCTGCTGTACAGTAAATGGCTATTACTGTGTTCTCATATGGAAGAAAGCACTTGTAGAGGGAGACCTCTGTTGATGTTATGCTGCCCTGGAAAATGGAAGCAAGAGTTTAGAAAGTCTGAAGCAAATGGCTGTAGATATTGAAGATTCTATTAAGGAAGAGGGAAGTTGAGTTCTTCTTAAAGTAGCAGTACTTTCAATTGTTCATGGTCCAAGTGATTGCAGACAACTCTGAAACTTCTAATGGTAGTTGTTTTTGCAAATTAAGCACTGAACTGCCCTGTGTGAACATTTTGTGCCATGTAAAAAAAGGACCTTCCAGAATACAACAGCTGTTGTTTGACCGGACAAGGGAAGACTTATATAGTTAACAGCTTAAAACCCTTAATTATACTAATGGTTGCTATATAATTGGGGGAACCAAGCGTTTGAAATTGCATGAAATAAAATACAGCGTAGCTCTATTCTTATAGAATTGGGAAGGGAGTGGGATTATGGATAATCTAGCCCCATAGATAAGCATCCACATGTCAAGAATGCTAGAAACATGATCTGCTAGACTATTTGTTAAATAAGGACTTTAAGGAAAATATAGGTGAAAGTTACTGCTTCTCAAGGAGAACAATTTAAAGTTGCATTACCTAAAATGAGACAAATTACAATAGAGCTATAATTGCTTTGCCTTTCCTGAAGCTCAAGGAGCCAAAAAAAGTAAAGTTAGCATAGAACCAGGTCTGAAGATAGCAACATTTAAAACAAAGCTTAGAACCAAGAATATTTTTTTTGTGCTCCGGGTTTATTAAGAATTGTAAACTAGTATACCCAAAGCAAACTGTGAATTAAGTTTCTCTGAATAGAATTTTGCTGCCCTATGATATAATTTGCACTTTTGAAAGACAAAGAATCCCAGAGGGAAAAGATGGTCTTGTGAATAAATCAGTCAAGCAAAAACAAGTCTCAATACTGTTTGTTGCAGACTACTGACGATTGTTGTAGTCAGATTGTTTACATTGCATCCTCTTTATAGAAACGTACTAAATATGCTTGCGTTTAGAATTGTAGACCATAAACCTTACTTTGCACTCTACAAGCTTGATGGCTCTCCATGTGTATGTGCTTTATAAAGTGGGTGCTTTGTATTCAACTTAAGTGTACTTTTGGAGAGGATGGAAGGAGCTGTTCTGTTTTGCTTTTTTTTTTTTTTACAGGTAGCATCAGTCTGAGAAAATAGCTGATTGCTATGTTGATTTATATTATGGAAAAATATCTGATAAAATAAACATTATTTAAATTTACCATTATGAAACTAGGATTGTTTCTGTTCCTCCAACTGAATGATGGAACACTGATTTCATGAATGTTACCATTATGAAGCACTTCACAGGCACTATGGGTATGGCCACTCAGTATCAATCGAGGATGAAACCACCACAATAGCTATAAAGTGGAATAAAACAGCACTGTTACCATTTCTACTTTAAGAAACAACCCCGCCACACAGCACACCTTGCTTTCAGCTTCCCCTCGGTCATTTTAATCATTCTAATTTATTAATAATAAATACTAATTTATTTGAGTTGTTATCCATCCATCCATAAAACACTATCAGATCGCCTCAGAAATACCAGAAGTAACTCAATGTTGACACATAGCTGATTCCAAAACACTTGTCCACATCCTTGGGAGAAGAATGGTTCAGCATTATCCGGGAATATTTGGACTTGGTAGGGCTCAGGGAACATAATGGTTGAATTCACTTTGGCATATCATGAAGAAATAAGCATGATAGGAATAATGTGCTTGATATTTCCACCGCCAAGTTAAAATACTTTTTGCTTCATAGTGGTCCTCAAATATGTTGGATCAGATTTCAAACTTTCCCACCCAGCAGAGCTTTGAGCCACAAAGACTGAGAATTGCAAAAAATGTTTTGCATGGTTTCTTGGTTCAAATTGGAGGCTCTGGCAAATTTTAACAACCAGAGCATAGTTTATTCTTAGCTATTTAGGTTGTTTGGGAGACTGAAGCTAGGGATGATAGTTTCCACATCATAAGTGGTTTATTTAGTCACTGCTTTCATGACATATGAGGAAGCAGTTGAACGGTATACCCAAGCTCAACTGTTCATTTACATTCAATTACCATGAATGACTCTACTTAGCCTGTTCCCTACCCTTTGTCTATTTGTAGGCAGTGAAACATACAAGCGCTATATTTAAAGATATATCTATTTTCCTGAGGATATCCCTCAATAGATTCTTCATTATCAAGATTCTTCATTGGAACTCATTAGTAATGTGATGGCCTAGACCAGGGGTTTCAAACTCAAGGCCCGGAGATCAGATACTTTAGATCCTGGAAACAACAAAGAACTGACCCACAGTGCCTCTGCCAATAAAAATGGAGCGCGGGAGGGCCACACCGTTTTCACTGGCAGAGGGTTGCAGGAAGCCGTGGCAGCTGAAAATGGAGCTTGGGAGCCTGTTTTCTCTGGCAGAGTGCTCGGGCCACAGTACCCCCAACACAAGTGATGTCAAGCTGGCCATGCCCACCCTGCACCCTGGTGCAGCCCTCAATGAAATTGAGTTTGACACCCCTGACTTAAGACAGATGGAGTTACAGGGATTTTTTTCAGGAAGCTAAAGCAGAATTCCTAACCTACATCACCTGCAATCCAAAGGTGTACAGTTTTGACTCCTAGTATACTTGATTGCAAAGTAAGCTCTACACTTTGCACAACCTAGGTCTTCTTTAAATAGATTGGTATCATTGAAAATTGGTGAATGTTTTGTAAGCAAATACAGTAAAAAAGAAAACCTCCCACATATGGTATGGCATCTTTCTTTAACAATGCAACAATATGCTGTCATCTTTCATAAGAGAGGAAGAATGTCACCCAAATTTCAGATGTCTTGAAGACAAAGGAAAGCCCCTCTTGCATTGGTCATTTTGTGATTATACTTATAGCACTGTGTGCCATAAACATTGTATGTAAATATTTGCTAAAAGAAAGAAGTTCCACTGTGCAACTTTGAAAGAGGGAAAATTCAGAGTTTTTCTTTGTTAACACAACTCAACAGTTAAAACTTAAGTATTGCAAAGCCTCTGATCAAAACAAAAATACCTTCTGGGAAGCTTCCTGAGAAAGCACATCATATTTCTCCCGAAAGAGGTCATTCTTTTTCTCCAGGGGAGCAGCATCTTCTCCTGTACATTCTGAGTCACTTCTTCTATAAAGAGGATAATGCTGAGAAGAATTAAAAGTACAAAATAGTTTTTCAATATATCCATGCAAAATAAAGTGCAGAGATCTCGTTCTATCAGTCTTCCAACCTACCTGCAATAGAATTGGAGCCGAAGTTGGGAGCTTATCCACATTCGTACAGCTTTTTTTATATTGATTTTGTTTCTGCCAACAAAAACCAGAAATTATGTAATAGGTATCTTCACAATAAAGTCATCATGGTTTTTAAGGAAAACTAGTATTTCATTAGAATTGAGGGGATGATACAGCTATATAAAACGATGTTCTAAAAGAAGATACCTCTCACATTCAAAGAACAGGTGAGTCAGTTTTAGGCATCACTTGAGTTACATACAAACAGGCAGAAAATGGCTGCAAGATGTATAAGCATATTTTAGCAGAATCTCCAAGGATGTTTTAGAACAATGTCTTAGGCACACAATACACTAAAAAAAGAAAACAGTCACAAGTACTGAGGGTGCCAACCCTTTAAGATTGATCAGACTAGGAAACCAAATTTTTGAGTACTACTAATTTTATTATGAGGTTATAGTAATAGAATCTGTAAGTGTGAATATGCTGCCCCCTCCCTTTATCTTGAAGGGATCTGGGGAAGGGGGATCAAGCCTGAGATGCTTTCTTAAATTACAATTCTGTCTCTAATTCAAATTTCTTTTATCTGACAGTAGTCTTGGTTACTGCTTTTCCTTCTGCTCAAAGTTATTCTCTCCACCCATTACAGAAGAAGGAGCACTAAGTATGCCACCTTCAGTTCTTTATAAATTTAACAAACATCAAACTTATCAGATTTAATTTAAAGAGTATGTATCAAGAGTTTAATTTAAAAAGGACTCTCCATCTACTAAATTCAGACGCAAGAGGGACTTCTGAAGATGATTACAATACTCAGCAACAGATTTGATAGTGCTACTGCTTTATTCATATCCACAATTTCATCCTGATTTTCCCAATGCCCAAGGATAGAAACCTTCACCCATAAGGGCTTTCTCATTTACTTCAGTGAAGAGAACATATCATTTTTAGAGGAAAAGGTACGTTTGCTGAAAGCACCGGAATAATAATTTGGGAAGGGTTTAGTTTAAAATAATTATTTACCTTGATAAGCTTTCCCAAAAATCATTATATGCCTACCTTCAGTGAGCAATTCAGTTGGTGGGAAAGTTCAATGAGTTTGGCTTCTGCTGTTCTGCAAATTATACACCTGTCACCTTCAAGAGCAACACTGTTCACTATAAGAAAACTGAATATAAGAAGGAAATATGCAAGTTGCAAGTTACTGCTAATAAATCCTTAACTTGGAAAGTAAACCCACACAGCATAAGAAGACTTCCCACTGAATATACTTCTAATGCGCTCAAGTAAATTATCATCCTCCGAATAGGCCTGGGAAGATGCAGAAGAAAATTCCTTCCACCAGGTACTTCTTTGTACTATACATAATATTTTTGGATTACAATAGACTGGGGCGGGGAGGGGGGGGGGCATGTTACAAATAAGAGGAGAATTCTCCCTGGGTTTGCTCAGAACCTGCTCAAAGTAGTGAATGATCAAGAAAGAAAATAATCCTCACAAAAAGCCAAGTACCACTCACTCATCACGAAATCTCCAGAACCGTAAAGCCTACAAACTTGAAATTTGGCACGTATGTTCCTCTTGGCTTCTAGGTGCTCACTAAGAAATTATTTTTCGAAATGACCATCAGATCATTAGTATTTCTTATACAGTAATTAACACGCTCTGATGCTAAGGAGTTAGACGTACTCCCCCCTCCCAACCTGAAAAGAACTCTTCCAACTGCCAGTTGCCTCACATTCTGTTACCTCAATTCAAACTGGCAGACGTTCCACTCCTCTCCGGAGCAGTCTGAGGCTCCTTACAGTACTAAATGTCGGTACCTCACCAAAATGTCTATGCCTTCCACCTATGGAACTGCTTCTAGACTCAAGGTGGTGGGAGCGATATTCCCTTATGTGTTTCAATCACCGATCACCACTGATCCAACAGATTGTGAACCGAATTTCTCCTGCATAGCCCAATCACAAAGTTTTGTCATGAAGCACTAGTATCCAGCTAGTCATAAATATTTATCTTAGCACTGAGACTGTCATATGATTCTCTGTCTTAAATGTTAACTTGCCAAACCAACCAATGTATCATTGGTTACTAGGCATTAACACTGATATAAAAATGGAGTTTCAACAATGTAGAATCTTAAAATACTGTTATCTATAATAACAGGAAATGAACACATATTTCTATATAAAGGGCTGCAGTTCAATTAAAACCCAAATGTTAAAAGCAAAATTAGAGCAAATGTTATAAATATAATTTTATATGGCTAAGGAATTAATATCAGATAGAAAAAAAAAACAGATCACAAGCAACAGTTCTTATTTCAGCAGAAATATATTTAAAAGTATTTTCTGGATAGCCTAAAATTAACCTTAAAAATATGTTTATAATTTACTTTTAAATAAAATGTAATGAATCATGAAACTAATGCTTTGCTGTAAATGCGAAGGTACAAACACCAAGCACAATAATAAAAATCCCACTAAATAAAAAAAAAAGTTAACTCACTTTATCCCTTTCCGAGTTATTATGTTTTCGGAAGAGAAGTTGAAAACTTTAGAGAAACGTTCCAACTTGAATGATGTCATTCTAGGAACATATAATAAAAGACATAGCTTTTGATTATACCATATAAACACCATAATCCTAGCATGGAAAAAACATGACTGAATTAGAGCAAAATTTCCCCCTCTTCAATTTGGTCTGTAAAAAGTGGACCATCTTCACTACAAACCAATATTTTAATCTATATCCCATGATTTGAAAACAATGCTCACTCATAATGAAAGCCAATGTCATGATTGCCTACAATGCCAAATACTTCTGTGTGGTCTGGATGCCAAAATATTTTTTGATAGCGTCTTACATCATCTGACCAGGCCTGCAAAAAAATTAAAAAATTAGATACTAGAATATTGTTTAAATAAAAATAAATACTGATTATTCTTAGGCTTTTGTTTTTATTATTCCTGAATTTGCTAAGAATAAAGGGTAAGTAGACAATTCCATAATATTTATATTGAAATTTATTTTATATATTAAAAATGAAAACAAACTATTTCCTACATTTTATTCAGAAAAAAAATTCTCAAAAGATAAAGAGCACCAGTCAATGTATTTAAATACAGCAGCTTGCATTAAGTTATTTTTTCCCACATAGGGCTGTTGAATGTTTAGATCAGTGGTTGCCAACCTTTTGGACCTCAGGGACCACCAAACGCATAATTTTAAATCCCACGGACCACTAATATGAATTTTGACTGATGGTGGCTTGCTGATTGGAGGGGGGGAAGAGAGAGAGAAAGAGCTCTAACCTCGGAGAGCTGGCGGTGATCTCTCTCTCTCTCTCTCTCTCTCTCTCACACACACACACACACACACACACACACACACACATACACACAAAGCAGAAATCTTTCTCTCCCCAAACTCCGCCAGAAATTAGATTTTGCTGGCGCAGCCTCTTGGAGCAAGATGCCTTGCAGGGTCCCAAAGATTCATTTCTGGAGGAGTTTGGGGGAGAGAAAGAAAGACTTGTTGCTTTCCTTGTGTGCAACCAAAAGCAGAAGAAGAAGCGCAAAGAAGCAACCCGGTGGCCAGACAAGGCGCGTGGGGCAAGTTCCTCCCCTCCGCCCTTTCCCTCTCCCCTATCTCGTGTTGTTTGTAATGCAGGCAAGGCAAGCCTTGTGTTCCCACAGGCCATGTGGGCAGCACAGCCTTGTGTTCTCTCACACAGCCTGGATTAATTGCTTTGGGGGTGACATTTCTCTGTGGACCAAAATTTTCTCATGGGCCATGGACCACCAGTTGGCGACCACTGGTTTAGATACTAATATATTAGAGTAATCCTTAGAACCATAAATCCTTTTCAACTCAACATAGATTTCTACATATTTTATTTTTATTTATCAGCCCTATTTGTCCATAATGTGTCCAATTTACCCCAAACTACAGTTCATTTTCTTTAAAATGTTCCAAATATAAATTTGGCTTCAGTGCCATACAAATAATCTACCCAAAATATCTACTGAATTTTACACTGATCATTGGGGGGAAATGCAGAGTGCTTCACTTTAGAAGACACACTTGATCTATAACTTACGGGTATCCTCGTGCTAGCTGATGAATTTAATGACTACAAGGAACTGGAAATCTGTCAAATTCTATTTTATACAGTTGCTCTTTTTCCTCATTTTTCATTTTGTTCTATTTCTTCATTAATTTGTTTTTTTTTCCTTTTCACAAACCTACACAAACTTCATCTACACTTTTCTTTGTCCACATTTTCCTAACACAAATTTGTATATGTACATGAATTTTCTGAATATTTTAGTAAATTGGTTAATTAAGAAAAGAAAATATTTCATCTTCATTTGAGTTGGTACATAGGACTGGAAAATGGGAACTGTTCATTAAAAGGTTCATTTTAAAATGCAACTTACAGGAACTTGCAATAATACACAAACATTATCTGTGCTAAAAAGTCTGCTGCCAACACTGCCAATATTCTCTCAGTTGACTTATCTATTGTGCAAAGTACCGTCCATAAATACAAACTTAAATACTGACAATGCCTCCATAATCATGAAACCGCTTTCATTTAATAATTAAGATTCTAATTAAGAACTGTAACTATTCTTGGCCTTGAGCTTTTATTCACTTATTAAAAGCATCTATTTTGCTAGGAGACCAATTCAGGAACACAAACCTGGGAAGAGCTCCATTTTCCTTCATCAAAGATATCACCCAGGATAAAAACTATTTCTGGCTGCAGAAGCCAGAGGGCAGTTTGGAAGGCCCTCTCCATTTGCCATTCCCTAGCAGGGGAAAAAGTACAAAACCACCATATTTTAATTAACCTTACAAATATGAAACAAATAAAAAATCTGGATTAAAAGTAGCTGGGTATGGAGTGGCCTTCTGTTTTAACATTGAATGGAATATCATTTTTAATCATCTGGAACAAACACCTACTTTTTAGGGTTTTGCTTACATTGCAGGAGAACAACAAAGATTACTCAAAAAATGCTATTTTGAATGTTCTAACAGAAGATTGGGGAAATCACATTTGCCAAATAAGAAATGGGAGAAGGCACTATGGAAATGGTCTGGTATGCCCAAAGATCAGTTAAACCGCTATGCTGTAAGGGTGGAATACATACATTTTAGAGAAAAGAAAGAATCACATCTTAAATTATTATAATCCCCAAGTAAAAGGAATTATCCTTGATTAGACAGCAGGAAAAAATACTGTGACTTTTCCATTATTATGACACACATTCAAAAGGGAGCAAACATTCTCAAATTACTTGTGAATCCCTGACCTTGTCCAAAAAAGCAGGCCACCCACCTAGACTCAGTGACTTGCAGCGAGAAAAGGAAGACTGCGGAAACCTCACCATATAAATTGGAAAACCTTTTTCACCTTGAAGACTCCAGAGAAATTAAGAGTGAAATAAAGAGATCAGGAAGGACAGTCATCAAAATTCTTACAGGTTTGTAAGATTTGTTCTTCAGGAAAATATATAACAGCATGAATAATGGCAACATGCTGATAAATATAGTCCTTGATATACAACAATTAGAACTGGAAATTTAGTCATTAACTGAAGCAGTCGTTAAGGTGTGATTGCTTGTTAAGCCCATGTGACACAACAACCACAATTTGAAACTAGTGTCTCTAGGCTCCGATTATGAGGCTGAGCACAAGGAATGAACAGCTGCCCTCTGCCTCTTGCATAACTCCCTCTTATCTCCTTCCTTTCAACTTTTATAAAACAAGAAAAAATCTGTATATATGAAATTAAGATAAATAATAGTATTTTATTATGCAACACATGTATATTAAGTATTTTCTTGGCTGTGCTGAGGGCTCTCTTATGAGGCTGCTATGTGTTTCATGTGTGTAAATTTTTGTTTTAATGTGAGCTTCTTAGAGCTATGTACTGAGATGACTATATAAATCAATTAAATAATTTTTAAATCACAGTATTAAGCTGATTCAAACATTGCAGAAGACTTGCACTCTTGAACACTATTTTGGTTTTAATGTGTTAAAGCAACATGGAATGAATAAAAAGATATTAAAAATGATTGTTCTTTCAAATAATGAGTGGGAAATTTTGCTCAATGAATTATAAGATTCATTTTTCCCTTCATATGAGAGGCAACTACACTGAGATTTTAGCAATATTACACTGAAAACATTCAATAAGTTAGAAAGTAGATGCTCAGCTTATAAATTTTTAACTTTTAAATTTTATTCAGCATGTAACAAATGCTTCTACAAACCAAGAACAAAAAATTATTTATATTTTGGCTCCTACCTCCTTAGCTTGTCCAACCAATGTCCATTGATTCTACCAAGCAAATGAGGATCTGATAAAAAGATGGTTTTCAAGACAGAATGTGAATTCGGTTTGTTAATCCCCAGAGTCTGATTTTTCAATTCCGGCCAATGACATTGAATTATAACTACATAATAAATTAAAAATTCACAGAAAATGAACACGGTCAGAATAAAACAAGTAAGTTTCAGCATAAAAATGCATCTTTTTCTCAAAGAATAATGCTGCATGGATCTTAAGCCTAGAATCGACATCTCAGCCTGCTGCAGCTTTTTTTCCATAGAAATATCAATGTCCGTTTTTCATGCCCTAAATCAAATCTACATTACTGCGTATTTCATGTGGTTCTTCTCATCAGCAAAAAGACCTGTAAGAGACAGAGAAATACATTATCAGCCTCATTCATTTACATAGCCCAATTCAAAAATGCAATAAGAACATATAGCAATTGCTTAAAAGTCATTTGGTTATGAGCCCCACTGAACTCAATATAGCTTCATTCTTCTAACCAAAGTGCATGGTGTTGCTCTATAACATTTTATAGTGACAGATTTTAAACCATTTACCAAATTAAAGTAACTGAATTATAATAAGACATATCTATCACAAATGTGTGTATTTAAAAAAAAATACTGAGAAATAGTAATAATTGTGATACATTTTAACTGACATTTTTGGCTTCAAAATAACTATTCTGAATGAATCAGAAGCTGATCAACTTTAAACCAGGCTATTCTGATCTCAAAATTGTTGACCATAAATAGCTTTACATACCAGACATTTTCTGATTCTTATTATAGTTCTGTGCCCATTTCTCTACGCAAAAGAGCCATCATTCATTTCACATTTAAAGAGATTTTCACTGAAACCCTGAAGGACTTTTCAATGCTTTATCTACTCACTCAATGTCTGTGGAGATTCTCAGTCATCCAGGTCATGGTTGTCCCAAAAGTGCTTTTTCAAGGGGCAACTGGACTTTCTGGTTTTTCTTTGAAGGTGTTCTGTTTCAACTCTGAAGAAGCTTCTTGCATGAGAAGTGAAAGGTCTTCAAAGAAAAACCAGAAAGTCCAGTTGCCTCTTGACAAAGCACCTCCTCATTCATCAATTTACTATTTCTGCAACTATCAAAAGAACAGTTGCAAATCATTTAATATTTAAATTAATAGAACACTGCAACTAACCATTTAATTTCTATTCATTACTATAGCTGTGGCTCATTCCATTTCCTTTTATTTCATTTTGTGCTTTTTGTGTAAGTTGCAAGGATTTAAAAGGAGTCCAGCCAAGTTGATAGTTATTTTCAGCTCTGGTTATTTCCAGAGTCCATCAAAAAAATATCTTACCTTGTTTTCTAAGGCCATTCTTGCCCCATAACAATTAGCCAAGGTTAATAATGTAGGTTGGATGGAGGGCCAACAGAAAATGCCTTCCTCCTTTCTGAGCAGACTCACCTCCTTGATGCAAAACCCCTTTGCTTTAAACATTCGTGTGTGTGTGTGTGTGTGTGTGTGTGTGTGTGTGTGTGTGCGCGCACACACATCTTTAATATAGTGCTTTCCCTTTTCAGATAGCAGCAGTCATGCCTGGAAGCCAGCTCTGCAGAGGGAATTGCAACAGAAGGGAAAGGGACTGATAAGCAGCAAGCCAGACCGGCAGGAAATTGGCTGTTACTGTCACCCTCAATGCAACTGAACTGAGAATACTCCAAAAGCAACTTAAATCCTGCCAAAGTGCATAACTAAATGACTGTGGAAATCCTCAGCCATCGAATTCATTGTTATCCCAAAGATGATTTTTCAAGATGCAAGTGGACTTTGTTTTTCTTTAAAGGTGTGTCGCATCTCATCCAAGAAGCTTTGTGAACTCCAGAAGAAAAGCAAAGTTCAAAGAAAGACAAAGTTCAGTTGCCTCTTGAAAAAGCACCTTTGGGATAGTTAGATCCTGCCAGGGTTTTGCAAGCTGTAGCAGTTTAGAGAACTGCTGATTCAAAGCAAACGCCTTTTACATGACCTTTGGTGAATGAGAAGGGCTGTCTTGAAGGGGGGGAAAACCGAACAAAGCAAAATGAGATTTCAGGGAATTTAAATTTTTGTTGAAAATGGTTTTGTTTTCTAAAGTTGTACCATTATAGTATATACATATTAAGATGCAATTATTAAAAATAAACAGCATTCTTTTTTCCCCAAGTCATGGGAGGGGAGGTGTCATTTTATCAGGTCACTATTGCACATTCTGAGATCCTCTGGGTTAACTTAGTTCAGCATTACCATAATTTTCATTAGGACCAGCTAAACCAGGGTTGTCCAACCTTGGCAACCTGAAGAAGACTTATGGACTTCAACTCCCGGAATTCCCAAAGTCTACAGGACTTAAAGTTGGCAAGATTGGACAGCCCTCAACTAAACCCTCATAAAGTGGAGAAAGGAGCACAAAGCTGATTGCTGTGCACAATTTCAAATACTTCAACAGCTCCACATTTCTCCTCCGCCGCCGCCTCACTTTGGGCGGATGAAGCCTCCCGCCGAAAGCGTTAATGCTAAACTCCAAAGCTTTTCTCGTTACTTTGCGACCTTCCAAATGAAACGTGACAAAGAATACGCGTCTGCAACGCCGGAAGCCCAAGAGTGATTTCTTTTAGTTCCGCCGTGATGAATGGCGGCAAACGGCTGGGCAATGCAAAATGCGTGACAGACACCCACGCCAATCTCGCCTCAGCGCCCCTGCATGAACCCGACCCGTTTCTCGCTTGGAGGAACAGCAGCCACAGCCCTTCCTTCAGTTCTGCCGGCGCAGGAAGCTCGGAAGACAAAACAGAAATCACGACGCATCGTAAATCGTGGTCGAAAAGGCGAATCTATTTCAGCCAACAAGGATTCCTCGTGTTTCTTTCCTTCCGAGCCCGCAAACAAGGCAACCTTTCGGCGCTATTATTATGGGTATGATGGCGCCCATCTCGCTGTTGGAGGCGATTCTGAGCCTTGCTGCAACTCACCGAGGAAGGATGGGGGTTTGGGGGGGTTGGGAGGCAGCGGGTCTTCCGCTCCAAGAACGAAACCCGCCAGTGGCAAAGCTTCGCCTCCGCTTCGTGAGGCCGTCGGGAGCAGCTGAGGCAGGAGCCGCACCACCAAACCCCGGAAGAAAAGCGAGGCGGCGATGAATGAAGGCAGGCTCGCCCGCCAGGCACGTGTGTGCGCCCCGGCCGCCTCTACGGAGAAGTCTTCCGTTTTGCGGCTGTTTATCCAACACCAGCCAGGGGTGGAATGGAAAGAAAGCTGCTTTCCGGCTCTCTCACTCGCCCGCTTGACTACATCGTGGTCCGAGCCGGGCGTCCCTACCTGGGTCACGCTGACCTCGCGGGATGTTCGGATGAGTCAGTCTTCCTGGCTCTTCACATCCGCGTTGGGCGAAGGTGCTGCCCTGCAGGTTCCTAGGCGTTTCCAGGGCGATCGTGGCATTCGGATGCAATCGATGCAGCAGTGTCGCCTTGGTCCAAAGAAACCGTCCCCAAATCAGGAAATACCGAGCACAGAAACGGTGCTGTTTAAAATTAGCCTAAGGTACTGGAGGAGGCGGACCATACCCTTACTCAGAGTAGGAGAAAACCAGAGGTCGAGAGGCTTGCTTTCGGAGCAAAATCCTGTTTATTAAAGCAGGTCATGCAGAACCTTCTTGTTTTAAGTGCAGTCTGTAGTGGACATCCCAAAGGGTTTTTTTTGGTCAATTGCTTATAATAGGTATAAGTAAAAACATAGTTATTAATACATGGATACATATTATATATACATACACATACACACACACACACACACACACACACATACATATGAATGAATGAAACAATAGGACAGGGACAGGTAGGCATGTTGGTGTGCTTATGCATGCCCCCTACAGACCTCTTAGGAAAGGGGTGAGGTCAACAGTAGAAAGTCTAAGGTTAAAGTTTTTGGGGTTTGGGGAAGAAACCACAGAGTCAGGTAGAGTATTCCAGACATTGACCACCAAACTGTCATTTGTAACTTGTAATATAATACACAGGATACTATTAGTTTATACACACTTAAAACTTTTAAATGTGTTTAAAAAACAAGCAGAGCTTCGATTTGCAGATCTCTGCATATTTGCAGTAAGCTTTCCTGGAGCAGGCATAGTTACTCCTAAATATTTAAAACAGGTTTCCTGTTCTTTCTTGTGACCATTTATGTTCTATGGGTGAGCCTCAGCTTCTTAAATAAGGGCAGGAGTCATACACCCTTATCTAGGACTTAACCTAGTCATCGGCTAAAGTGACATATGGTTTCTGTCCTGTGCTCAGACCTGAACTCCAAAAGAAAGCAATCTATTTCCTCTAGAATAGTCTGCAACTGAAATGGAATAACTGTCTTCAATAATTTAGGTCAGCAATTCTTATATTTAAAAATATATTTTTAAGAAGATATATCTACAGAATATATGTATCGAAGTATAAAATCATTTACATTCATTAGAATAAAATCATATCATTTATATTTTAAAAAGTTCTTATTTTATGTAACTCTTAAGAGTGTGATAAGGGACACTATCAATTCAAAAAAATTATTTAAATCAGACATTCTCTTGTTTAAACCCAAATCCTAGATAACATCAGATGTTGGCACAGTTATCTCATTGAGATCTGCCCCTTTGGTATCCAAACCTAAACAAACATGAGCTATTTTATAGGAAAATGATTTAGCAAGTATATCATAGGCTTACAGATAAATAATCTTGCTTATCTATCCCCAGCAAGACATAATCTTAGTAGTTTAAGACAGGGGTCCCCAACGCCCCAGGCTCCACAGACCACTACTGGGCTGTGGCCCATTTGGAACCAGGCCGCATGAGCGGCTGGCCAGTGCACATGCTCAGCTCAGCTTGCACAAGCGGCGGGCCAGCTGCATTTGTACAAATGATGGCTGGCACACACACGCACATGCCAGCCAGCCCACCGCTTGCACAGGCTGGTTCCCTCTCCCCTACCCCACTGGGCTGCCAAACCATAAAGTTTGGGGACCATTGGTTTAAGACCTATTACATAATTTCCCCCTAATGTTATTCTCTCAATAACTTTGTAAGGAAAAATGGGCTGAGAATATAGCCCAAAATTATAGCCCAAACAATTACTTCCTAGAAGCCGTATCACACACATTCATTTTTTTAAAAAAGTTCCACGCATCTAAGTTATAAAATAACCTTGAAAATACCTTCATATTGAACAAGCCATAGTTTGAGCTAAACATAGGTCCCCGAGTTCAAACATAAGGAAGCACTACAATTAGTTTAAAATCAGAATCAATTACTTCTATTTTCCTCTTTAGACATATGCCTCCAGAAGACAGAGAAAACAGATGAACTTAAGTACCTCATTCACATTCACTTACTGAAGGCTAAACCAGAGTTAAACATTGCATTAAAAATAAAAATAAAAAATATACAAATTATGCAAAATGAAAAATGGGTGTCATGATTCTATTGTACAAATTACTCTGTTGAGAGTTTATTTTTCGGTGTACACTCAGTATACTTTAATAATAGTCTTGATTATTGTTTCCATAAAGTTGTACGAGGATTGTCAGCTGTCAACACTGTAAAAGTGATTCCATAAGTGGAACTTAACTGTTTTAAATACTTTTCATAGTGGGTATTCAGCTTTATGGCTTCTTGTAGAGCATATTTTAAATCTTCTATTTCATCAAAGAAATCCTGAAAAGTTATAACACAAAATATTTTACTTAAATTCTACTTCTGAATTAGATACTTTGTCTCAAATTTTTTCCTTGCTACAAAGAACATAATTACAATCCAAATATTTGAATATTTGCTAATTGAAGAAATTGTTATCAGATCCTACAGCTGTAATGAATCCTGCATTTGTAATAATGAATTATAACTCCTACCCTAGCACTAAATCCTTAATTATAGAATTCTGTTTTGTTTTTTATAAATTGTACTTATGTGTATAAAATCAGTTAAAATAATGAATTCAAATGACCATATTTCTAAGGTTCCAAATTTTATACAAAGACATAAAAGCAATTTCCTGTCTATAGATAAACATAGTGTCCAAATCAAATGCTGTATACAGTATCTCTTAACAGATACATTACAATCTTAAAATAAGAAAATTTATTTGAAAATAGAATCGATTGTATATAGAAGAAAGGATTCTATATTTAGGACTTTTTATTATCCATCTTCATATTATAATCTACAGGATGAGTTCATCCTATACAATATAACACCCTGTACTTAGAAGTTTTCAAAGAACTGTCTTAAATACACAGAATAATGTATTTTACAGACGACTGTTATCTTCAATCCAAAGATACATACAAACAGGCAAAGAGCATTATACATTCTTAAATAAGTCCCTACTTGGAAGGGGGAGCATTACTTAACCTATCCCTATCCCTATCCACTCACCAGCAAAGCTAAAGCTTCTAGAGCGCAATCAGAATGTAACAATGCATAAAACTTCATCTCCCATAGCAGACATTTTCCATTTGCAAATGGGAGATTTCTCTACATTGCCTCAAGATTAAAAAAAAAGAACCCACCTTATCTAATGCAGCAAGCTCATTTTTTAACATTCTTCTTTCTTTGGAGAGCGTTTCATTTTCCATCTTCAGTCTCTGTGTCTCAAAAAGCAGCTGGTCTAAAGTACAATAAATAATCTCTTTAAAGTCACTAAAAGATAAAAATTATGTTCTTATTCTGTTTTAACTGTATCTTAGAATTGTTTTCACTTCTGAAAATCAGCTTTTCTTCTTAAAAACTGTGTCAGTTTTAAGACCTAAGAATACAGTATTTCCATTTCAGTTTTATGATTTTATCATCATCGGATTTTATTTGCTGAAGAGTCAAGGTATCTTACAGAGAATTCAGAATAATGACAAAGTCAAAGGAAAAGAGAAAATCTCAAGGTTCTGGAAACCCTAGATCTGCAAGCATTGATATAAAGCAGTTGTCAGTCTAAAAGTCTTGGGGGGAAATGTTAACAGTATGAAGTTTAATGGTGTGGTTAAGCCACCACACTATAAACCAAGACTCTCTGAGTTCTAGTCCTGTCTTAGGCCAAAAACTAAGTCCCTCCCTTTGTTTTATGGGGTTCTTATGGGCACAGAAAAACATTTTGGCTATATAGGGCAAGGAATTCTCTTCAGCAGCAAAGACCAGTTTCCATAATACAGGAGCCAGAGAAATAGTACAGATAAAATGCAGTAAAAAAAAATTATATCGTTCAGTGACAGCAGTCACAATATACTCAAATTAGCACAAAGGATATGTACCAGATTATATTTTAAAAATCTATTCAGAACTGCACATTATTGATTTATTGACAGCACTTTCTATAAGGCTATAAGAATAACACTTCTATAATGATACACATCTCCTCTATCTACTCTCATGATAATATAGGTTACACTAACAGAAATAAAGCCAGTAAACTTTATGACAAATGATTCCTGGTCCTAGTCTGAAAATAAACAGTACATATCATCAACTCTCCTTAACAACAGCAAGCCTTCATATCATTCTAAACTTAAAGTTTCTATATCAGAGGTGGGGAAATATGGCCCTTTTATGACTTGCTGCTGGCTCGGGAATTCTAGGAGTTGACCATCCATATGTCATAAAGAGGCCATTGTTCCCCACTTCCGCTCTAAGTAAAGGTGACTACACAAATATAATTATGGTGCCACTTCATTAAGCCATGTTTGCATCTTAATATAAAGTGTTTTTAATTGCTGTCTTTTTGGAGTGGGAGGGTGTTAATTATATTTTCAATGCAAGAGCAATCAAGTATTCAAACTATTGGATTTCAATTTATAGACATAGAGGCATTACCTTTGGGTCAGGAGCTAAACGTGAACTAGATGAATCAAATGCAGCCCCTTAAATCCTGTGGATCCTGCTGCCTTGCCCCTTTCTATGAATGTACATTACATTTCTCACTGTATAATGTACATGCAGATGTAGAGGCGAAATGTTTGTGAAATATGACCACAGTACATGTCCATGCATCCTAAGGCTCACATGCTATCTCTACCATCTCATGAATACGATTATAAGTTTTCCATTTCCCTTTTTGAAGGAAACCATACTTTAAAATCTCATTACAGCACAGCAAAAATGTCTGTAATCTTTGCTTGTTTTTCCCCCTCTTATCACTGAGCTGGTATAAATCTCCACCCCACCCCCACAGCTTTGCAGCAGAGAAGAGAATTGGGAAGGTTCTTGAATCAATTCCTGCTCACCCATCCCCAACAATCTGAACTGAGAAAGCATAAGTCTGTTTCTGGGACTCTGGGATTGTGCCCATTATAAGCAAATTCATTCTATTTTGAATATGTGTGCAAACAAACAATGATTTTTGTAAAGCAAAATTTTTCACATTTAGGGAAAAGACAAAACTGCCCCATGTGGCAAACATTTAGAAACTTCTAATCTTCTCTTACTCATAGATGAGAATATGTTAAAAGGTAACACGAGATCAAGAGCCAACGAAGCAGATATATGAGGAAAAAAAGTATTACCTAAATATTTGCAGGAACAGCTTCCCTTCTTTTTGCACATACATTTGTCAGATGACAGTCTTCGTTGAATTGAAGCAAATTTGTCCTTTTTTTTATATTCCAAGGCATTTATCTTTTGGTTTGCTAAATGAAGTTGGTGTTCCAAGTCATTAATTTTACCCTGTTTAAATAGTTGAACAACTTTAAAGAACAAGAAAATTAACACGTTCTTAAACATACTAGGGAAGAGCAATCGGGGTATCCATTCAGAATTACGTTTTTAAATACCTGCATCAGAAGTTAGAAATAAATATGTGATTTAAAGAGTCATTGTCCTATTTAAACAAAGCTTGGAAATGATAAATGCCACTAACATATTTTTGTAAAATGGCGTGCATTATAAGGTTGCCTCACTCATGGGCTGAATATGTGATTAAAGCAACAGCATGGCAAGAAGGTAGGTGTGTGTGTACACATGCGCACACACATACACATACACTTAAAAATAAGACATGTATTAAAAACTAAAGGGCAAATTAAATTATCCTACATCATTTCAATCTAAATGATTATCATGTTACCTTAAAAAGGGAAGTTTATCATTATTCTTTCAGTATATAAAAGAATTATAATTCAAGAACAGAATGCCAGAAACATTGTCTGTACAGCTACTCCATAACATTGTCATTTAATTTTAATAGCAGTGATAGCAGAGATACATGACAATTTCTTATTAGAATGAAACCACAACTGAATGAAAAACAGACCAGTAAATGTATCTTGCAATATGCTTATGAAACATACAAAAATGCAGTATTGATATTCTATATATACCAAACACATTTCTTTCTTTTTTTAGTTTATGTCAAAGTGATCAAATGATTAAAGCTTACAGACAGCATTGCAACTGTTTCATTTTGTCTTTGATTTGTTTTGACTTCTTTATTGTACCTTTTCTTCAGTTCATTATACATCTGTAATACTCTGGAAGCAAAAATAGAAGAATCATTATTCTTCCAAAAATGAATATCTATACAAATGCTCACTGAAAAAAGAATGGAAGCTATTTATCTGTTTTAGCCACAGCGGTGGCTTGGTCTGTCTAGAGTCAACTGTGTTCACCAAAGCCTCCAACTGGTAAAAGTTCCCTGCTTCAGCACCTCTGTCATGTAATGCAAGAACTGCAAGCACCAATCGCTTTCTTATACATGGCTGAGTCTCTGAATACCTGGGATCACCTTCCTTCAATATCAGTAATCCATACTGGACAATTCACCACACTTTGGCTGCTTACAATTAATGGAGGTTCTGTGTAGGATCCCCATTGTGGACTCCCTTGTGATTGACATGTGCTGTGTCCTTCAACACTAGGGCTTGTGCTCCTGTGAGAATCTCATGCCTGATGATCTGAGATGGAGATGAGGTAGTGATGCTAGCACTGGGGAGCAGCTGCAAATACAGATGAAGCTTTGCTGCTCACCCACCTGTCAACTCCAGCTTTGCGTCCCAGTTCCTAAGAAATCACAGACTGGGTTGAGGACCATTGGACTGTTGCATATCCATGTTTCTTTTCCTCCCATGTTTACTGCACAAGCAATGGAATGGGAGTATGAGCCCACTGGTGTCCCATTGGGAGAAAGAAAAAATATATGCATCTGCTGTAGTCCACTGGTCCAGCAATGGACCAATCAAATATCAAGGCTTTTTTTTAATGAGCATTTTACCAGTAATACGGTAATGTTTTACTATAAAACTTTATTTTTATAACTGTAGATTGCTCTTCTTTAGAAGCTTTCTATTTGGCAATATGTAATTAAAAACATACAACAGATATAACTTTTGTTATACCATCTGTAATAGAAGGGAGAACACTAGTACAACATTTTTATACAGTCAAATAAAATATCATGTATGTTAAGAAATGGTTCAATACTGAACAGGAAATAACTCAAAGATGGATCCATATATTTATGGATAAATGTATAAGGAGTGGTTATAGTGTCATTAAAGGCTTTTGTTTGCAGACAATGTTGTATGGTTGACTAAAAACCCAAATTATTTGCTAAGATGTATGCTTGACTAACTCACCTGGCATATTCCTTTACTAGATCATGTTCCTTGTGATGAACCCCATCACCTTTATGGTATAAGTGAAATTCTGTTTGAATCTGCACACTAAAATAAACAGCCAATTAAATAAAAGCACTTTCTTCAGATTAAATAAGTATTACTAATATGATGGGGGTTTTATCTAACCTTTCTAAAAATCCAATAAAGTTATGAATACTAAAAAAAAATTTTTAATCTCAAAGACAATAAATACCATCTACATAAAAAAAACACATAATCAGAGGAAAGACATGGAGAGTTATGTGATCATAAACTGAAGTATACGGTAGTCTCTAACTTGATAAGCTGCGACTACATTCTCATTATGCCTGGGCATCTTAGGCTAATGGCTATTCTACATTAAGGTGATTGTAGTTGTAAAGCAAGATATTTAGGAAGATTAGTTTAAATATGAAGAATTTAAGAACCTCTCAAGAGTTTCTCAAAGTAATTTCAATTCTCATACATATTTCCATTTAACTCTACAAACCCAAGTTCATCTTTCTGTAAGTAAACATTCTTAAATCCAATAAAATCTATTTATTGGACATAAAGGACATCCTACCAAGTCAGGCAGAGACCCCAGTTCCATTTGCCTATATTCCACAGAAACCAAGAATCCTTTCATCCTTTAAGAGCCTTTCATTAAAATAACAAAAGTACTAATCTGGTCTTGCAAATGTCATACTATGTCCTAATTACAACAAGCCAAAACCTTTCAAGAATCGGGGCTACAGCCTGTATAAATATTATTTATAAGACCAATTGAAAAGTTATGCTAAAATATCATGTTGAGTAATGATACAGATATTTAGCTTAATGTTTAATCATTATATTTCTATGTGAATTCTTAAAAAAATCTTTAGGAAAGAATGTCTAAAAGTGTGTTGCGTGGTCCTCAATTTAAACTCATTCATCAATGATTCTATGTAAGCTTGAATCAAATATTTCTTTAATCAAGAAACCAACAGATGAGAAGCTACATTTTATACATATTAGACTACTGAAACCTTAAGAGTCTTAAGAGGCATGTGCTTAGAGTATAGCTATTCTTACTCTTTCCTTGTGACACAGGCAGGCAAGCACTTCTTTTTCTCATGTAGTTTATCATGCAGCTGCACTACATCATATTCCAGCTGCTTGTTTTTTAGGCGTACCTGCCTCAGCTTTTTAAGGAGCAGCTGATTTTCTTGATTGAGCTAGAAAAATGAGATAATTTTTCTTGTGTTTAAAGACAAAAAGTTGCCCAGAGTTGAGTTATTGGAGAGATAGGTGAGATATACATTTAATTAATAAATATACAAGCAAATGCAGCTTAGTTATTTAATATAATCTAGTAACCTTCATAGTATGAAATAACCTACGTTCGAAGGCTTACCTTGTTTTAATCAAACACTTTAAAGAACAGACCAACACATTCTTTCAAAACTCAAAAAACCCAAACGTCCCTACTTCGTAAAATAATCAGTTGTATCCTATAATTGAAAGTTTTCCCCCAACAGGTATCTTTTATTATTAATTCTGACTTTAATATATACATCAATTTGATTAAGGTGAGAAGCATGTTGCAAGTCATCTGCTTATGTCTGCCACATATCATATAAAACTTCCAGTTTTGTTTTTCATTTTATTTCCACTTTTCAATCAGTACATCATCTGCCGGCCATCTTTTCTAAACTTTGTTAATTTTAAATTCATTTCACTTTCATTCTCTATTCACATCATAAAGTATAACCTCTGCAGGTCTAGTTTATATGGACATGCTGAGCTTCCCAAAGCCTATATGCATTATATTTAGTGCTTTTCAGACTAGCAGTGAAAAAAACCAGCCCGCTCAAGCTCTAACCTTTTACTATACTTTACCAGGAGTACAAATTTAAAAGAATAGAGACATTTTTAATAGCTATAAAATTTACCATGGGGGGCGGGCAGGGAGAAGAATGCCGGAGAAGACTAAAGTTACCTTCCTACTATCCAAAGGCACAAATATTCCTGATATGGGGGAAAAAAGGAAAGCTGCATTGCTTTGGTGAATTAATATATACCCCCAACATGACATTTCTTGCCCGATTTATCCTTTAAAAAAAAAAACCCCTACATCAGACTTGTTTCTCAAACTTGGCAACTTTGGGACAGGTGGACTCCGACCATGGCAATTTCCCACTTGAGGTCTCGCTTTCCTCAAAGTGGCCCAGACTGAGAAATCCTGCCCTGCCTACAAGCGTCTGTCTTTAAAACGGTTGCGGATTAGGGGAACTGTAATCCAACCCACTCTGGGCGGCGCAGGTGGAGGGAAACTCGGTTATTCCAAGCTGCCCCGGCCAGATGCTCTTCCTCACTCACTTGGACGCATCTATGAACTGAGGGCAGCGCCATCCGCTTCCCTGTCACGGCCTCCCACACCGGGTAGAGGCCAAACAGGCGGGAGCAGGGTCAAGGCAGCGCCCCCTCCGGAAAGAGACGCGCCCAACAAAGGAGAGCGGGCGGGATCGGCTCGGGCCCAGCCGCGGGGTTTCCCAGCGGTCCGATAAAATGCCCAGGCAACAGTCGAAAAGAGCGGCAAGAGCGGCGCCCGACACCCCGCCTGTCCCGAATTCACTAGCTCGAGTGTTTCTTCTTCAAAGCTGGGGTGGAGGAGTGTTAACCGGAAGCAAGGAAAGATTCACTACACGGGTTAAAACGGCTTCCCACGCACGCGCGCGCCTTCATGGTTGAAAAAGTAAGCCCACGTTTGTTTACGGAAAGAATTTAGTGACGCCATAATAACGCGACTATAGGATCAGGTCCCTTTCCAGGACTTCCGCTCCATGGTTCCCATGGTGACGGGATCCCGAATCGGCTGCATCTCTTCCCCTGAGTTAAATGGGTGGTGCAAGAAACATTTCCTTTTAAAGAGTCAGATTCGAAGTTATGTTTTTCTACTCAGATAGTCGTGTGATGGTAAACTTCATGGAATGTGTATGTGTACATTTTATATAACTCTATGCTACAATATCTATCTTTAAATCTAAACTTGTCTAGAAAAATGTAAAAACCTAACGTTGATTTTGGTTAAAAAGCCCAATTCCATAAAGAATTCCGATTGTCATCACTCTAGCTGGCATTTTTTAAAAACTGAAACTGCGTTTGGGAGCCTGATACATTTGTAATTCCCACGAACTGCTTGGTTAAGCTCTAAAAAGATTTAGCTGCAAAGGAATATATAATTCTTTATCTTTGTCCTATACTATTTAAGTTTTGGAACTGGCAACATTCATCATGGCATACATTTTGTGATTGCACAAAACTAAATTTCTGTGAATATTCTTAATCCCATCAGTGGTGGGATTCAATTTTTTTTACTACTGGTTGTGTGGGCGAGGCTTGGTGGGGTGTGTCTTGCTGGGTGTGGCAGAGGAAGGATACTGCAAAATCTCCATTCCCACCCCATTCCAGGGGAAGAAGACTGCAAAATTTCTGTTCCCTCCCCACTCCAGTGGGAAGGTTACCACACCAGTTCTCCGAATTACTCAAAATTTCAGCTACCAGTTCTCCAGAGCTGGTCAGAATCTGCTGAATACCACCTCTGTATCCTGTCCTGTCAAAGTTCTAATCACATCTGCTGGTGCCTCCGAAAGCTGGCCATTCTTGTTGGAGGGGTTCCAACTCCAATGTCATGTATCACTCTGTAATGTGGAATATTATTTGATCCTTTTTCTGAATTTAAAGTGGGTCAGATGTAAGCTATCTTTCAAGGCAGAGTTACCAGTCTGGGCTGCCAAAAACCAGAGGATCACTAGATGGCAGCAAAAGACTAAAATCTGTTTCTTTGTTCAAGATAGAAGACCTCATTTGGAGGTTGCAGCACAATCATTTTAGTTATTTAAACTCCTTCCATACAAGAGACTGCTGATCTGGATTGGCATTATGCCCAATTTACAACACAATTGGTCTTGAGGGATCCTTCTTAGTTGAGTTAATTAAATTCAATTCATTGGGTCTTCCAGAGAAAACACTGCAAACATAAGCACTGAAACATTTTCATTGGTGCTGTAGGGTGGCAGTCAAGGTCACTTTGTCCTAGCAAGTTGAATTCCCTATCCCCTTTCTTAATTAAAAACACTTGGGGGTGAATTTTGCCAATCACCCTGCTTTAGGAGCAAGATTTTTCTACTCTATCTTAAAAAAACAAAGAGGTATGGTAATAAGGTACAGGCTAAAACACTTTTTTGTGCTGCTTCATTGGCTAGTTGAAGGAAGAACTTAATTCATGAGATTTTCTTGGAAATTAGCAATGAAAACAGTCCCAGTATTGCATTTTTTTTTACCATTTCACAGTGAAACTATGTAGAAGTGCCACCAGAGGGGTTATTGCAGTAGAAGAGCATGAACCACTTTACAATAATTGCTCACTACAAATATGGAGACCTCTTGCACATTTTATTGAAATAGGCCATAGGCTGATTTTATTTATATCTTGTCTTTCTGCCCAACATTCTGCATTGATAGCAGCAACAGTATAACTCATGAAAATTAGTTGTTAATACAAAACAATTTAATGAAAACATTTGCAGCTGGCCTATATGGCACACTTGTTAACCACTATTTTAGAGAAAGGGTTAGGATTGAAAAGGAATGAGTTATCTTCTTAGGATTGTTGTATTGCTTTAGCAAGATAAAATCAATTATTTTAAAATGATTTGCAAGGAAAAGAAAGGACGTTCCAAAATCTTCTGAAAATTGTTGGGTAGCGGTCAAGATTGCTTATGTACATGTGTGGCCCTCACCCCTAAATATAGCAAAACCCTTGTTCATCATTTTAAGCATTTTATGTGGGAAGACCATATAAATACCCTGAATAATTATATTTGCTGGTCAAAGTTGTAATTAAACTAAAATTGTGCTAGCTAACAGCATGCAGTTTTTGTTTGCTTCCATTCTAGGTCTGGCGTAATGCTGGAAAGGAATACAAATAATGTTTTTTAAAACAAGTTTATAGATAGGAACTTCACTGTAGTTCAAAACTGGAATAAAACCCTCATACTAGTTAAACCATAAAATCTAATAGATCTTGAAATGTATCTATAGACTTTAAGTATATATTTAAGGAGAGTAGTGAGAATCCCCAAATTTATAAATCTCAAAGAGATACTGTGGACTGCAGCAGGACAGGCTTAGTATATTAGATTCAAGGCCTTCAGTCATTTTCACTAACATTTACGTTAGCACTATCAAAATGTCTCCCATTGTTTGTACTGGATTTTTTCTTCTTTACAGAAAAAGAATAACAGCAAATTCTGATTCTTACTTCTATTCTGCATTTGTGATTAAGCATTTGTTTAGTGATCTGACTTTGGAATACTTCGGCAGGAATGCTGAAATAGTTTGCATGCCAAGTTATTCTTAATTTAAACACCAGTTGTAAGGATTACAGAGAAACTAGTACATGATTTAACTTGAACACATACTCATTGCCTTCCTTTTTTCCCTCAAGGCAAAATACTGATGCATACCTCTAAAGTTCTGTGTGAAACAAACTAAAGATTGCACGCTGTAACTGTTTATATATTAAGATTGTCAACTGCCTTACATTCGTATATGTGTGTGGGGGGGATATTCCTATTAACTATCTGGAAGGGGAAAACATCTTAGTCTGTTGCAACAACAAAAACATTATTGTTCCATAAAAAATATTATATGGATTATGGCATAAACTTTCATGGATTGCAGTTTTCTTTCTTTCCTTTGAAAAAAAGAAAATATGAAGAGAAACAAAGTATGAAGCCTCCTTCCTATGTGGAGGCTCCAGCGCCCCATACCCTTGTTTGTCAATAAGTGACTTTGACATATTTATTTGTTTGGGGGAGGAGACTACTATTTTGGGCTCCAAGCAGCCCCTTTAAATCAGCTATGTATTTGAGTTCTACCAATATACAAAAGGACTTTGAGTAGCCAAATAACATACACCTTTGATACTTGTTTCACTTATGTAATGAACCAAGCCATCCATGCAATGTGGTAGTGTGAAACAATAATTGCCCCTTAAGTCTCAAAGTTGGTTCTTTGAAAGCAACTAGATGGTTTTCCCCGCTCAGGAAGAAGACATTTTGTTTCTCATCCAAGAAGCATCGTCTGTTCTGGCAGGATGGTTGGGGAGATGGAAGGATGAGGGAGTTGGAAGGATTATATTTCTTGGCAGTCGTCTGGTCTGGTCACTCTGAGAGAGAGCATTAATGACCAGATGACTACAAAAAAGATAGTCTTTCCAAACCCCTCCCATCCTATTAGAATTTATCTGTCGCCCCCACCACTTTGCCAGAACTGATGAAGCTTCTCGGATATGAAGTGAAACATCTTCTTCCTCAAGAAAACAAACATTGTACCCTATTACTATCATTGTACTTTATGATTCTTGACGAATGTATCTTTTCTTTTATGTATACTGAAAGTATTTGCACCAAGACAAATTCTTTGTGTGTCCAACCACACTTGGCCAATAAAGAATTCTATTCTGTTCTATTCTATTCTATTCTATTCTATTCTATTCTATTCTATTCTATTCCAGTTTCTTTATGAAATAGTACTTTTGAGACAACTATGACTTGGATGACTGAAAATCTCCAATTGCCCCTTAAATTCAACAGCTAATTACATTTTAGTTACAATAAGTGCAACCAATAGTTTCCTGTAATTTGGCACATTCCTCTGTGGTAAACTGTTTCAACTCAGTAACACCCGAGTTTTCTAACAAGAACTGCTTGAAGATTAATGGCTGTCTTCAAAGGAGCATCTCTACTCTTAACTATGGTAGCAATGGTTTCCACCTTGCTATTTTCCTAGGAATCTTATTTTTACCCCGTGCTTTTAATGGAGTATAACTAATGAACACTTTTGCTAAGACAAGAAGAGTCTGCAAATTTCTGGTATAGTTTTGCAATTCTTACAAAACTATGCTATGAATCTTGGGATGTTTTTCAGAACAGCCACTCTTGAGAAGATTTACTATGTCCCATTTTCTCAATTTCATTTCACTAAGAATGGATTGGTGGAGTTTGAGAGCTTTAGAAACAGCTTTGTAATTTTTCCATACTCTCAGGAATCTATTTAGCATTTATATAGCTGCCCAATTGTAACTATTTGAATCTGGGAAGGATACTAAAAAACCCTGTCCAAATCATAAGACATAATATAATTCATTACAACTCATTAAATAAAATGAACAGAATTGAACACTTCTACACTTCAACCTAACCCCAAAGCTGGGGTAAGAACAAAGTTTGACTGCATTCCCAAGGCCTGCAGAATTGGAGGAGAGATTGTTCCAAAGGGCAGGTGCCACTACACAAGGGGCTACTTCCTGAGTTCCATAATAATGGAATTCTTTCAATAAAGAAAGCCAGAATGTGGCCTACTTACTGGAACTTATAGGATAGGCATATACCGCCAGGAGCAGGCAGTTCTGCAAATAACCTGGTCTTATGCCACATGGGAGTTTATGGATGATAACCAGCACCTTGAATTGCACCCAAAAATCTATTTGGAAGATTTCAAAAATGTTTCGCATGGAGCATGAACTGTCTCTAGAAACCTTAGTACTAACCCAGCAGGTTTTTTCTCTCTTCTGTTCGATCATGTCCAATTCTCAAAGTCTTCCTGGACAATTCTCTTCAATTTTCTTGACAAGATTTTTCAGAAATGGTTTGCCATTGCCTAGGGTTGACAGAAAGTGATTGGATCATTTAGCTGGCTTTGTGCCTGAGGCGGAAACTAGAATTTAGAGTCTCCCTGATGCCTTAAGCACTAATTCTCATTAAGTCAGAGTAGAATCCCTTTAAAAATCAGTAGTATGCAAATAAAAGTCTTTCAGTAGCAAAGATGTGCAATAAGTGAGAGTAACCTCGAAAGAATATAATATATGTTAATTGTTTAGATTTTCTGCAGTGGGAAAACAAAAGAGGGTTACACATGACTACATACTGTATGGGACTTTGAAAAATTCTGGAAGTGAGACAGAATGATTGCATGATAAAAGCCCCACTTGGAAGAGTTTCCTATTTGGAAGTACCCAGCTAAGGTTATTTAAATATGGAGTATATAATTGAGAAATCAAATTACTGAGAAGAGCATAATGCTGAGAAAGAAGAAAGGGACAACAGAGAATGATGTGGCACTGAAGCAGTAGGCGTGAGCTTAAATGGACTCCAGAATATAGTAGAGGACAGGAAGGCCTGGATGAACGTTGTCCACAGGGTTGTGATGGGCCGGACACAACTTTGCAACTAACAACAAGTGAAAGATATGAGCAAGTGATAGCATTTAGCACACCTTGGCGTGCTTGGAAAAAAACTAATTAGGGTCAGACCAGTATATTTCAATAAGAAATGATCAGGAAATTCCAGAGTTATAGGCTGGGAAGTCAAAAAGCATATTGGAAGAAATGAGGCACAAACTCCTTATTTATTTTCATTTTTATCCTGTCTTAATTACTTTTATAACTCAAGGGGGTGAATATACCTAATACTTAAGAGATGTGTCCATATAGTCATCAGGAACATAAGATGTTATAAAGGGCTCTGCCTAGCATTTGAAAAACCCAACTCTGAAATAAATAAAAGTACAGCAAAAGGTGGAAAGAATATATAGCTTTGTCTATAATCCATATTCCTATTTTATAAACAATATTTAGTATATTTTTAAAAACTGTACTTAACATTTATAAAAATTTTTGATAAAGATCCTGTAATTATCAGTCCAACTTTCCGTTTGTGATTTCAAGACCATCTATGGAGATTCTCAATTCCCCAGGTCATGGTTGTCCCAAAGATGCTTTTTCCAAAAGACAACTGGAGTACTTGAAAATACTGGTAGCTCATGAAGAATTATCTAGTGTGGAGGTTCCTAGAGTGGAGTGTAGATGTAAGTGAAATGCTGGTAAAACTTCCACTAGAAATATTTATAAGAGCATACTTAGTTCAGAAACAGTTTTAGTTCTTGTAATCTCAAAATGGATTTTTTATTTAAGTTTGTAACAGATAGAAAATCAGAATAGGAAAAAAAGAACTACTGATAAAGCATGAATAAAAACACAGTTTAGTCATGCTTTGTCCCCCTTCTTTTCCCCCTATTGCTCTTTTAATCTTACCAGCCTGGAATTGGCATATTTAATTTTTCCCCTCTCCATATTATAGAAATTTTAACCTGCCAACACCAACTCATGAAATCCTGATCTTAATCCTGAATCCTTAAAGTAGTCGAAACTAAATAGATGCTCTCATGTATGGCTGAACACTGTTATCAGAGTAGGTTAACACTGAGGTTACCTAGCCTAAAGAAACTTCTGCAAGAAAACAGCCAAGCTTCGATATTGTAAACCCAAGAGATGGCCAGATGGATTTAACAAGATCTAGGAAACAATTTTCACTTTATTTTATAAACAAGTGAACAATTCTGGTTGACACATAAACTGTAGCAGACAGACTAATCCAGTATTAGATTATCCAACAGGGCCACTTCCTAGAGATTTGCTTTAGAAAGGAAGGGTGGATTTTCTCTTCCTCCAACTTCACACTACTTCTGCGTGGTCATTGTTTGTAATAAATTCGTTTAATATATGAAAAAGAAGTAAATCAACATTCCAAGTAACATTGACTTACCATTTACTTGCTTACCATTAACTAATTTTAGTCAATTTAACATTAAGATAGTAAAAGTCACTTGCCATGTTTTTCGTTGAACTCAAAATCTTTTCTGCGCGCTGGATAAATGTCCTATAAGCCGATTTTGTCTGGCGGATCTGACCAATCACAGAACGGCGGGAGAGGAGCCTTAACTTTCTTAGTTCTTTTTTAGAAAGAACATTCTGATAAAAATAAGGTGAATATTTTCATCTAAAGAGATATTATCTTGCCCCTTGGAATAATTCAATTCCATCATAATTTAATCATTTTAGCAAAAAACCTTGGAAAGACTAGGTTTGGAAGAGCCGAACTCGCTTTTTTCGCTGTCAGTTGGCCTTACGCAGTTTCCTGAGGCGGGGAATTTGTATTTAAAAGGGTGGGTATTAATTTCTGCAATCATAAACAAATGAAACGAATTGCCTTTCACGACAAGAACGCCAGCCTAACCTGACAATCGGGCAAAATGCGAATTTTCAAGAACTGCATTGCCAGCAGCCAACGATGCCTTGCAAAAAATAAATGACCTGCAAAGCAGCACAAGCCCTGCTTTCCCCGAGGGTGAAAAAGCGAAAGACTGAATTCAAATTTTAAAGGGGGGAGGGGGAAAGGGAGTTTAAAATAACAAGATGCGAGGAACTTCCTGTGAATCACATCCTATTGCCCTAGAAACGCCCACCCGCGCCCATGATTCGCGAGCTACGTGAGGAACCAGCCTGAGCGCAATGTCCTAAAATTAGGTGTCAGCAAGAGCGCTGGGCGCGGAGAGGGGCGGTTTCTCCTCGAGACGGGCGGCAAGCATGGCCAGTCGGCTGAGAAAGGCGGGCTCTGTGTCAGTGGAGCCTCTCCCGCCTTCCTCTGTACCGGCGACCGAGGTGGCTGAAGAGGGCAGTCAGGGCTAGTGGTTTCGGCGGCGGCGCAGGAAGAGCGGCTGTGGGGAGGGGAAGGCTTCTGCAAGTGGGGAGGAGACGCTCCGCGGGGCTTGTGAAGTAAACATTCCCCCCTCCTTAGCCCGAGTGAGGGAAGCCCCCTCAAGCGCCGGAGAAAGTTCAAGGACTTGCTGCACTGACGCCCCCTCCCCGCTTTTCCTATTTCCGCGGAGACCCTCGCAAACGTGGGAGGAGGCGGGGGAATCCTGGGCGCGGAGAAGGAGCGGCGGTAATCATGAACCCCAGCAGGCAGCGAGGATTAGGCAAAGCGGCCGCCGGCGGAGACGACCCTTGGAAAGAGTGCCAGGAGGCGGCGGTGCAGCTCGCGCTCCAGGCGGGACAGGTGAGCGGGAGCTGCTTCGGCTGGGGGGCGGGGGGAGAGGGTGGCTGTCGCATAAGGGGCTTCGGGGTCAGGCCACACGTGGGGAGCAAGCATATCAAACTTTCTTTGCTCTCTTCTCCTCCTCCCCCTCCATCTCCATTTTGGGGCATCGGTAAACGAAGCAGGCTACCCCCCTCCCCCGTGCACTTGTAAGATTTACGTCGAGATTTCTTGCTCAGCTGCAGCTAGGTGCAGATCTTGGGAACCTACCAGCGCACAAGCCAGCCTTCACCAACATGGATCCCTTCAAATGCACTGAGCTCGTTTTTCAGAGAATTGTATTTGAAGGGGATCAGGTTGGAGAAAAGAAGTACATGGGTGCACTTTGTGGTAATTCAAATATGCTGATTTGGGTGCAAATTCATCCAGTTCATTGTGTTTCAGTTACTCCTAAATAAGTGCAGAAATCCACAATCTACATGTTCCTTTAGTTTAGGATAAGATGTAAAAGAATCTGGTGATTGTATATCATGAGAAAAGAAGCACTTTTGCTCTAATAAACTTGGGTGTCTTGGGTTTTTATCATGTTGGTGTCATCCTGGTTTGGTACAGATACTTATTTTCGTTGGATGATTGAAACTTAGGAAATGCAGCTACCCAGGTAAAGTAAATCACAGAAAGTAACCCAGCGTATTTAAATTCACCTTTACACAATATTATTTGAAGGGTTAACATGTTATCTCTATGGATCTATCTTTATGAAGTTTCAGGCTGTTCACTGACACACATTTAATTTAATAAATATTAACTAACTACTGTATTTACTGCAATGAATAACACTGGGTAGTCTTATCAATCCTTGAGTGTTAATATTAACACTCTTCTAGGAGATAGGATAGTGAATTTCTGTTTTTCTCATGACAATTCTGTAAAATAAGCTCTCAGTTTAGTATTATCCAGTGAGTTTCCCTGGTTGAAGATGAACCTGAACCTTGATATTTCAGGTTTTAGTTGCTTTTAAAACTGAGCTCTTCACATTGAATGTCAAGAGCTGTTAATTATGCCTTAAAAAGGAAAAATAAGGATCACTGAGAAATTCTGTGCCACAAATAAGTACCAGTAACAATCATTGGATAATAAATTCTCTACTGTATGTTTTTATAAGTGTTTTCTTCCTATATCAGATTTTTATACTGGTATGCTAAGAGGACATAGTATTTCTATTCTTCCAAGTAAGAATGAGCACAACATTTTTCATTTTAGTTTTTCTTCAGTTTAAACTCCAGTAAACATTAACCTCTTAGGAGAGGTAAAATTAACCAATCATTTTGTTAATTACATAGCGATAGCATCTACTGCAAAAGAGAGGGGGCCTATAAAGTGGAGTACTATTATTTATACCTTTGCATCCATACCCTTGCTCTGAATACAATCCATATTTAATCTTGCAAGTAGTTAGTTGTTTCGTTTCGTTTTGTTGGGTTGGGTTGGGTTGGGTTAGCCAACACCAACACAGTGTTGTTTTTATTTGTTAAGTGCACTCTTCCCTTTCTATTACTTTTATTCCTTTCAAACAAATTGTGTTCTTCTACTGCTCTGTTTCAGGAATACAGTCATCGTACCATGTCTCCATTATACTTAATAAACATATTTTACTGTACAGGTGATAAAGTCATCATACCAGTTCTCTGTTATATTTATTACAGTCATATATGCCTTTTTATGCTGAGAGCCCAAACTTGTCTTATTTTCCACACTCTTAGCATTAATGTATAGACAATAATGACCATGAAGTTTATTCCTCATTCTGTTTCCTTTTAATGATTTAAAAGCCCCATTTCAGCAACATTGCTTCTTCTTACAATGTACAAGCCTTTATGTGAGAGGCCCTTCAGGATTTTTGTTTCCATCTACCATCCTTTAGTGGAACACAATTTTACTAGTCCTAGTGAAATGTGACCCATCTTCTTCCAACAATCTCGCACCTAGATGATTCAGACAAGGCTCCTAGAAATAAAATGCCCCTGATTCACTGATTTACAATATTCTTTCCCCTTTTCATGAACTAAAAGGCTGGATATCACTGAGCCTGGGGATCTTGGATTCTTTCCAAGATTTTCAAAATCATCATGCAATATAGTTGTAGCTGTTTTTTTGCAGAATAGTTTGTACTCACATGTATTAGCAAGAAAAGATAATTATCAGTGGATTTGATAAATCATGTTTTGTCATGTCTTTGATCTTTGGGCCTGTTAGATGAAACACTTCATGAGCCAAAGAGTCTGGTCAGTATCATTTTTTTTTAGTTTCTCAAAGTGGTGAGTTGCCAACTACTGCAACTCCTTTTTTGTTACTTTATAGGGCAAAGTTTACATGCTATTAATAGTATGTGCTTAGAGTAGTTGCCTATGGCTTAGTTACTTAAGGTACATTGCTATCTTTTCTAGCAATAGTAGGGAGGAAAGGAAATGTGGTTTGCATATCTTGTATATTTCTGACAAGGTCTTTTACCTCTTGAAACACAATAACAATAAAAATGATTTTTAATTGTGATGATGACTGTCTATGAGCTGGATTTTACTTGTGGCCTTCCAAATAGCAGTTGGATAACCTGAATATTCTATTTCACACATGTTCCTGTATGCCCTATTGAGTTTATTAATGTGTTTCTAAAAAGAGGCCAGCTTTTTCAGCCCAGGAACTTTTTTGCTGATTAATGCCAAACTTATACAGGATAAAATCATATGTCTCCACAATTTGGTTATGGATGAGCATACAAACCTGATATGCTCACCTGGCATATGCTCACAGTATTGGGATCTGCATTGTGATATTGGCCTCTTGGAAATCTGCTCTGACATATCCAGGTCCTGCATTAGCAAGTGATCAATAGTAGGTGATTTTGGGTAGAAATGATTGTCTGGAATTAATAGTGACCAGAGGGTCTGGTCTGGAAGTGACAAGTTGTGCATGCCTATTTGTGATTTTGGACAACAGGGCAAATTAGAAACTTTTCTTGTGTACTATATACCTTGCTGCACAGCAGAGTGTTTTTGTGATCTCTTGGAGCTTATTGGAGAGCAAGAGGTAGAAAGCTCGTCCCTTTTCGTTTGGAAAACTTCTGCCTCCGAGGGAAGATTCCATGAGACTTTATGAAAACTCCAGGCAGTTTTGGTGCCATACTAGATACAGTGTTCATCTACAAGCAGTTGACATATCATCTGATAATGGAAGATAAAGATTAAATCTTTGCTGTAGTTAGCTTGATCCCTGTTTGTTATAAATCTCTTCATTGCCAAGATGCTCTGCAGGATGGTAGGACCTACAGTGTGTGGCAGTCTGGTCCAGAGCCTAATGAATCTAAATGGATTCCTCATTAAGTTGGTAGGTGGTTCTTTTGAGTGCCTGAGCAATTTTTGGAATATTGAAGTAACCAGAACACTTAATGAAATAACCTCCAACCAGTTGCTAATTCCATATTTTATGTATGAATCCTGCCCATCCTGGATTTTTCCTGTGTGCTAGTTCTGAGGGATGAGGTGGCAGAAAGACACACCTAGAATAGTACTGGACAAAAACCAAGAGCAGATTAGACTAGATACAAGTAATTGTTTACATTTGGGATTACACTGTATGAGTAAGTATGGCAAAATAATGCTTCTTATTGCAATTACAGATTGTGCCTCTGCAGCCCTTGTGTGGCTGCTTGCATTCTTTTGAGAGGCACAAAGCAGAATGTTCTCTTCAAAAGCCATGTGAGATTCTAGGGGGGGTTTCATACATAAAATTGCTTAAATTTCCTGCGACCTGGACTTTGCACAGGATGGTCATGATTGGATTAGCTCTTTGAGGATAACTGAGATTCACTTCAGCTTCTAATTCTGAACAGGATGATCTGTGGAAAATGCTCTACCACATGGTTGTGCAATATTTTGACTTACCTGGGCCACATTGAGTTAAGAGGAATTGTCTTGGGCCACATATAAAATATATAATATATTGTATATAAATAGCAAACTTAGAAGTGATCTAGGCTTTTGTTTCCTTATCCTTCTGTGAATTTAACAACTACATGAGTCTTCTGGAAAAAGTAATCCATTGGTACAGGATGCAGGATCACCAGAGGGCTATTTATATCAAATTATACACATAACATTGGTTGGGCTGAGGATGCAGGTCCTGACTCCTTGTTTGGAGGCTGTTAGAATTTTGACAGGGGGAAAAAACAAACCAAGAATGAATCACTGTAAGACGAATATGCTAGTTGTCCAGAAACAATTAATGATTAGTATACCCCAGTAATGACTCGAGATGGGGAGGCACTATCTAAAGGAGCAGTTCAGTGACTTGGGGCCTCCTACACTCACAGTTATAGCTGTATAAGCAAGAAGAGGAGGAGGGTTACTTAGATTTGGCTGGTACATCAATTATGGACTTACCTGGAGTATGATGCCCTGGCAATGATCATTTATGCCTTCTTCACTTCTTAGGTAGAGCATTACAATGGGTTTTCAAGTGGTTGTCTTAGAAAGCTACCCCAACTGTAGTTGATACAGAATGCAAATGCCTGTCTCCAAGTGGATGAGAGCTTCTAGTAATCTTCTAGTAGTTTTCTAAATACAATTCGAGGTGCTGTTTTTAATTTGTAAATGCTTGTATTGCATGGTTTCAAGACCAGCCACAGGACCACCTATTTAAGGTAGAACCGACTTTATTCATCTTGATGGGGAATATTGAGAATTTCCCCTTCACGTGTGAGTTTAAAGGAGGGGATAGGCAAGAGTATGATGCTTCTTTGAGTGTGTTCCAGTGTTAGCTCAGGAGTTCCCAACCATAACTTCCCTGACCGCCTTTAAGACTATCGTATTTCACAGTTCTCTAAATCTCAAATTGGGACTGGGTGAATTTTGAAACCATATTTTTGCTTTTATGTGGCTTTGTAAACAGCCATGAATCCAGAATGTCATAACTAAATATGCCTTGTTTGAAATCCATGGGAATGTGTCAAGTAAATATATGTAACTTCACAGGATTTCTTTTAAATAAGGATTTTAAATAAAGATTACAGCCCAAGCACTTATTTTACATTCCTGTGAAATAACAGATGCTTTCAGTCATGCTTAGCTTCTCCTTGCACTTTTAAAGACATTCCTTTTTCCTTGAGTTTACTTTAAAAATATTTCTACTTACATGCCTTTAGAACAGAATTTATAATGGAAGTCAGTTCTGGATATTCTACTGTGGTCATTTTTGCCTGAATTAATGCTATACTCCAAAAGAAAGTGCAAAGGATTAAAAGATAACATTTGGCAGTATAAAGAGAATCAAAAAATGAAGAAATTATAGGGCTTGTATTTTTGTATCATGTATGTTTTATTTGGCCCATTTTTTCTAGGCCTCTATAAAATTGTCTATATAAAAGCTTTAGCAGAAACCAAAATTATTCTTAAAGTAGCAATGTCCACGGTACAGATTGTATAAAATTACAGAATGTCACTTATACACTCATTAAGGACCAAGTTCTGGACTCAGTTCAATCTTAATTTAATCCATTTAACTTATTTTAACTCAATTTAAATAAGTCAAAAGCAGTCCATTTTATATAATTGTGATAGTATGCAAAATATTTACTTCTGATTTTGTTAAAAATAATGTGCGATTGAAACACTAATATAGCAGTTACTGAATTCACAATATGTACATTTATACAGTGACAAAGTGTTAACATCCTAATTGTGAGGCAAAAATGTGGCATCTAAATAGCAGCCATTAATGAAGAACATTTAACAGAAAAATAAGGTAATTATGTTAATCAACACCAGAATCTTCTTGAATAAAATACTGTACTTTACACATGGTATCATTTTAGAAGTTACTGTGGGCATTTTATCACTTATTTCTATTGAGAACTTAATGCAGTTTTTAAGAAATAATGGGAAAAATCTGTAAAACAGTATGTAATATTTTCTTTCTAGATTATTAGAAAAGCTCTTACTGAGGAAAAGCAAGTCTCTACCAAAACATCTGCAGTAGATCTTGTAACTGAAACTGATCACTTGGTGGAAAATTTAATCGTTTCTGCATTGAAAGAAAAGTTTCCCTCTCACAGGTAGGTCTGGCCATGGCATTATCATACTGCTGATGTTTTAAATGAATGAAAATCATAATAATTACATGAACAGATGTGGTTCATAAGTAATATATTTGAATGAAACAAGCATATTTCACATGCAGAAACATTTTCTGGAGAGTATAAATTGGCAATAGCCACCTATCAAATATAGCTCTGGATGTGTTATGTTGCCACATAAATGTTCTGGTATTTAAATACCCTGAGCCCCAGTAGAATTGGATTTCCTGTGCTCTCTGAACCGGGATCATAACTTGTGGTTAAGGTGGTTTGTACAAATGGTTTGTTTTGTTTTGTTTTAGTACTTTTAAGCTGCTTTAGTTATATGAGCAAGTTTGCTAATTTTAGCCAGGATTCTAATCCATGTGATTAATTTTGCTTCAAATTTTCAAACATAAATTAAGAAGCAAGAATGAAATGCTTGATAAATGTGGCTCTTTCAACAGCTGTATCTCTACTTCTCTTAGCTCTGCTTTCATCTGAGCATGCTGGTTGGAGAATTCTGGGAGTGGAAGTCCATACATCTTAAAGTTGCAAAATTTGAAAAATATTGCCATAGATCAGGAGTGTCAAACTCGCAGCCTGCAGGCCGGATGCATCACATGATGGCCACATCCACACCTGGTTTAGTAAAGGGAGAAAAAGTCACGATATATCACATGACAATGCTGTGATGACGTGAGTTTGATACCCCTGCTATAGATGAAACAATTCTCCAGGATATGGTAGAAGATTTGCAAAGCTACATGTAGAAATGATTTTCAAGCTACCATACTTGCCAGCAATGGACTTTTTCTGCTACAAACATCTCTTGAGTGTACCAGTATGCTAGGAAATTCGTAGAGACCAAATTCATTGTCCATGCATCGGATGAAAGCAAAGCCAGGAGTAGTGGAGATAAAACATTGGAAGAGTTACATTTTCCAACAGTTTCATTTTGCTTTTTTAGGTTTGAAAATTTAAAGGAGAGTTATTAACAGGGTTAGAATTCCACACACGTTAAAGTTGTGAAGTTTGAAACACACTGATGTATATTTATAGTAACTAACTTTATAAATATGTGCTCAATAAATACACAGAACATCATTTTAAAGTCACTTGGTACGAATTCTCCACTCCATGAGCTTGATAGGAAAGTGGGGGGGACTTGCTGTATTTCTTTGGTCTTAGTCCTTGCATGATGCTTAAATTATAAATATAATAGATGTATATGGTTAACCTTACAACACTATTTGAGAACATTTAGAGGAAATAATGCAAGAAAACTATTTTCCAAAGCGCAACAAATTTAATAATGCTTTTCATACACTTCCAGAATATAATAAAAGTATATCTCTTTATAAGAATATTCACTGATTTTAGTCTGAACTAGGGGTGCAGAGACATTTTCAGACTATTCTAAAATGGATGTATGCCAATCTCAGTTGTGGCGTTCTTGTTTTATTTTTTTGTCTTTTTTGTTGTAAATCCAGATTTAAGGTTTCCTTTAAGGTTCCAGTTCTAGATGATTACAGTCTAGACTTTTTTAGCAATTATTCAGGTTTTGTTTTTGTTTTTTTAATTATTGTTTACAACGGGTGGGCTGGGACTACAATCTTATAAATTTCTGAAGAGCTGCAGGAAACTGCTTTCTATTCCTAACCTGAAAGCCTCCTCTCCCTCCAGCATATTCTTTGAGAGGAAATAAGAGCTGATTTTGCTTTAATTTGTAAAAATAAATGAACTGTACATGGTTCAAAGAAAAAGCCTGTGATTCATAGACCCTGGAAATGTTCTTCCACCTGTCAACCAAAGGAAGAATGTTGCAGAGTAAGATGAAGAAGAAATCACTGCATTTTTGTGTAAAATATGTAGATTTGTCATTCATTAAGATCTTTGCATGTGTATAAGAACTTTTAGTCTCTAAAGCCTTCTTGAGATCATTTGGTTACAATGTTTTAAATTTCTTTCATTTAAATATATATGTAACAGAGAAAGTTTTAATGCCAATTCCTAGTATGCTGTTCAGGTTGGAACCTATTTTATTTAACAGTACATCGGCAACTGCTTCAAATGCACCTTTAATTCAAAGTTTTTTTTAATTTGAGTCTTGTCTATATCAATGTTAGGTTTATTGCAGAAGAAGCTACTGCTGCTGGTTCAAAGTGCATACTCAATGACAGTCCAACCTGGATTATTGATCCTGTTGATGGCACCTGCAATTTCGTACATAGGTAAAGATAAGGTGAAAACCTTGCATCAAACAACGCAAGCCAGATTGTCAAGCATCTTTAAATGCCTGAAGTATCAGTGGAATTTCTGTGTGTGTTGAATCCCTTCTAGCTTCACAAAGTGTGATAAAATGTAGAAAGAGATTGAGTCCCAGGAGGAAAGGGCTATATTCCGGAGAAGCAAGAGGCAACTACTGTATACATGGGGGAAAGAGGCTGAAGACAGCCACTCCATAATAGCTATAGAGTGTATTGTGCACGCAAACAGTAAAATGCTCAGTCGGGCAAGATTTTGTCTGCAGATGGGAAACAATAAAGAACTCACTTTAGAAAAGAATCACTATGTATTATTCTTGGGCCTGACATGGAGCTTATAACTCATCTTACGCATATTTTGCACCAAGCAAATTTCTGCACAGAATTGCATCAAATTTACTTGTAAAGTCTATGCATATTAAAAAATATTGTAATAGGGTTTAATATTTATACTACTTTAATACTTAATACTTTAATATTTAATACCTTAATATATATACTACTACTGAACAACAAAAATCATATTTGAACTCTAACATTTATTTCAGAAAAGCAGCTGCTGCTCTCTCTCAGTCTATTCCTGGTGCAAAAATGTCCTGTGAAGGCAGCAGGGAATACGAACAGCAGCTAATTGGTTGCATAGATTCCTAAGATTTAAAGAATGGAGAATCAGATAATTCATCATTGGAAAAGTCACAAAACTGTCTTTAGGATCAGGATGCAAATCAGTTTTCCGACAATTAAAATTATATAAAAAATTAGAATTTAATATCTAAATACAAAAAAGTAAGATTTCTTACCTGAGAACCAATGAACAAATACTATCACAGTGTTGATATGGTAAAAGTCATTGTTCAGAAAATTTATTAACAAATATAATGTATTTATTTACACAGGTTTCCAACTGTAGCTGTTAGCATTGGATTTGCTGTCAAGCAAGAGGTATAAAATAATGTTCTGTAAGTTGGATAGGCTTTAGTGGCAGCTGTGGGGGAAACCAGATTTAGTAAATACACCTGAATAATTCTTATGCAACACTTTTCCAATTTATCTTGTGATAATTGTGGAAATATATATTTTAATGCATAAACCTACTTATCATATTCAAACCATTTTGATGCTTTTACATAAAAATTATAAATGATTTTTCTCTTAACTAAAACTGTTTTGGATATCTGTTCTAGCCATGCAGAACACTGTGTTGCAAAAAAACAGTTACAGAAGTACCCCTTAACCTAAACCTTTTTCCTTACATTAAATTGCAATCAGTGGGCTCTACTTACAAAGTATATGCATTTAGGAATGGGCATAGTATTTAAGCAAATGACCAATCAATCGATCAAATTGGTTGATTGCTATCATAGACCAGCAGTGCTGTCTATCCATCAAATCACAGGATTAATAGTTCTCTTGTGTTCTCTGTCTTCTCATGTTATTGTAGAACAGGGGTGTAAACTCAATTTCATTGAGGGCTGCATCAGGGTTGTGTTTGACCTTGGGGGAGGCGTGGCCAGGGGGCATGGTCAGCTCCACATTACACATGTTGGGGGTGCCTGTGATAGCCTGAGCACTCTGTCAGAAAAATCGCACTCCCAAGCTTCATTTTCACCTGCGGCAGCCTCCTGCAACCCTCTGCCAGCAAAAATGGAGCTCAGGAGGGTAGCCCTCCTGAGCTCCATTTTCACTGACAGAGGCACTGCGGCCCTGTCTTTGGCTGTTTCCAGGGTGGTCCCACGAGCCAGATCTAAGCATCCCATGGGGCCGGTTTGGCCCCTAAGCCTTGAGTTTGACACCCACACTGTAGAGCAGTGGTTGCCAACCAGTGGAACGGGACCACTGGTGGTCCGTGAGAAAATTTTGGTGGTCCACAGAGAAATGTCACCCCCCAAAGCACCCCCCCCAAAGCAATTAATCCAGGCTGCATGGGGATACAAGGCTGCTCCACCCACATGGCCCACGGGAACACAAGTCTTGCATCTCTTGCATTGCAAACAACATGAAGTAGTGAGGTGAGGGGGGAAGGGCAGAGGGGGGGAAACTTGCCCCACTCACCCCACATGTCTCACCTGGCCACCAGGCTGCTTCTTTCTGCTTCTTCTTTTGGCTGCACGCAAGGAAAGCAGCAAAAGTCTTTCTTTCTCTCCCCCAAACTCCACCAGAAATGAGTCTTTGGGACCCTGCAAGGCATCCTGCTCCAAGAGGCTGCGTCATTCTGGCCAAGTTTGGGGGAGAGAAAGAAAGACTGCTTGCTGCTTCTGCTGCTTTCCTTGCATGAAGCCAAAACTCTCTCTCTCTCCCCCTGAGAACGGAGCTGGAAACGGTATCCTGCGATCCCAAATAAAGAATAATCAATCTATAGGAAAACGGGGAGGGGAATTTTCCTGCAGACTTTTTGGGGGGATTTTCCCAGGGTCTCTGGTCCGTGGGATTTAAAATTATGAGTTTGGTGGTCCCTGAAGTCCAAAAGGTTGGTGACCCCTGCTACAGAGTATTTGTCTGGATTTCTATAAACAATGTTGGTAGGCTGTATATGGTTTTTATACCCTTCCTTTAGAACAGGTGATCTATTGAACTGGGTTTCCCTACAAAAAAATAACAAGAGCTCTTTCTCCTTACTTCAATTTAACAACTTTGCTTGGCTGACATCCACTTTAACTGCTAGACAATGATGAAAGCCATAAAAATGTTGCGGTAGCAAAAATGTTGGATCATGCAAACTTTGGAAGCATAATTACCTTTCATGTTATTTCTGTAAACTGATAATTGCTTGGGGTAAATTACATATGATCCATCCTGATAGAACATGATAGGCACATCTGATAAGTGATTATACTTGCAGTGAGTATTCTGCAGAAGATGCTTTTTGTATTTTTCATTTAGTAACTGTGGTGTAAAAATTAGCCATTATATAAGGGGATGGTATATTTAATTTCCTGTAGCTTTTATCATAAGGAATATTTGGGGTAATCAAAATAGTGTAAACTGCAATCTTATGCAGTTAAAAGAGATTTGTTTATAATGATATAATGCAAATTGCATTCATGTTCCTTTTCTTTTCTTAAAACCTAAAGCTTGAATTTGGTGTAATTTATCACTGCATTGAAGAACGATTATACACTGGTAGAAGAGGTCAAGGGTCATATTGTAATGGCAAAAGGCTTCAGGTGTCAAAAGTGACAGGTTGGTTTAGATTTTGTAAACACTATAAAATTTATGTATATAGATGTATAATATTATAGAGTTGTCACTAATTTTAGATAAAATGAATGTATCTTCTAGGTAGTTTTTCTTGATTTAGGTTAATAATATTTTTGAAAAGGACTGCCTACAGTTGGATTGAACTGGTTGAAACCCTCCTATCAGATGCTAAGGTTGCCGCAAGGACATTATGAAAAGCAGGCTGTATTGTTCTAGAGATAATACTATAAAATCACCTTTTAGCAGTTTGCCCTGACAGTTCAAAGAGTTCAGACAATTTCTTTAATATAATCTCAATTGTCTTATTAATGTAGAACTTTAAGAGCATAATTAACTAATTCATGGTGGTCTTGTAAGGATGAATTAGAAGACATCCTTGTTCTCCCAGGCATTTATGCATTAATTTGTTCTACATTTTGCATTTTACTGGAGTACACAATTTGTAAATACAGATAGTCCTCGACTTACAACCGTTTATTTAGTGACTGTTCAAAGTTACAACAGCACTGAAAAGAATGACATAAGACCATTTTTCACATAGTCGTTGCAGTATCACATGATCAAAATTCGGGTGTTTGGCAAGTGTTTCATATTTATGATGGTTGCAGTGTCCCAGGGTCATGTGATACCCTTTTGCCACCTTCTGACAAGCAAAGTCAATTGGGAATCCAGGTTTATTTAACAACCATGTTACTAGCTTAACAAATTAATGATTCACATAATGACTGTGGCAAGAAAAGCCACAAACTCACTTAAATGTTTCACTTAGCAACATAAATTTTGGGCTCAATTGTGGTCGTAACTCGAGGACTACCTGTACATTCACACAAACTGGTTTTGTTTTGTTTGAATTGCTTAAATCACTTTGTAATCTGTCTAGAAGCCTCCTGTTATTGAGTGCAATAATATCTAATATTGTAAATTGTATGTGCATGCTAGTAAGAAATATTTCAAAACTTTCAATACGGTGATTCACCCTAAAAAAATTTGCATCTATTTCAAGAATAGCACTGGATGTTGTACAAAAGTTTACTAAGCTGTTGTGTTGTTTCAAAAATACATATCATTTGCATCTGAGATTCCCACTCTTTTATCATCTTTATTGCAAGATCTAAAATTTAAATCACATGGCCTTTGAATCTCAGAACTTCAAGTCCAAGTAAAAACCAAGGGTTAGACTTGAGTGGTCACGTACTGGTAACTTTTGGGTTTAGTGTGGATTTTTTGTAATATATAAAGTGATAAAAGATTTATTTTTCAATCAGTTCTAGAATGGCAATGAAAGGATAGATAGTCCTTGTTTAGCAATCATAACTGGGATTAGCACTGGTTGATAAATCAAACAGTCACTAAGTGAAATTGCAACTGCTTACTATTTTCTTCAGTTTTCCTTTGCTTTACAGATCTGCAAATGTCATAAATGTGGGGATTGGTCATAAAGTTACTTTTTCAATACATTTGTAATTGTTAACAGTTATTAAATGAGGCAGTCACTAACCAAGTACTTGTAATGTTGAGCATTACATATTTTTTTTTAGTTTTCTTTAGCAGAATTTATTTGGATTTTTGGATAGGAGACCACTATGAAATCCTATGCTGTAGATTAGATTATGAAGTTTAAAAAAAACACCTCATAATAAAACAAAACAATGGAAAGCTATTTCCAAATTGCAACCAAAAAAACAATGTAGGCATGTCCATTTAATCAGCAGGCATGTGAACTTTGCCTCTAAAAAGTCTACTTGAAAATGATTTGTGCTTCCAAAGATGTAGAACTTTATAAAAGAAATTAGAGTAAGCTGTTCATTAATACACATCTATCATTTTTTGCAGATATCACAAAAGCCTTGATTTTAACTGAGATTGGCCCAAAGCGAGACCCTGACACTCTGAAAGTCTTTCTTAGTAACATGGAACGACTGCTAAATGCACAGGCACATGGGTAATTATGTTTCCTGTAAAATTAATAAACTTAATAACAAGAAAATTGTTGATAATCCAGTCAACCAAATCAACAGTTTCATCCCTATTGAAATACATATATGGACTGTCCCATCAATAGTGTCTTTCGTATGTCAAGAGAATTTTATTCTAATGCAGTAGCGCCATCACAGTCTTCTTTTTTGCACTGAATTCTTGAATGCCATATGAGCCTCGGTGGTGCAGTGTTTAGAATGCAGTACTGCAGGCTACTTCTTCTGATTGTCGTCTGCCTGCAATTTGGCAGTTCAGATCCCACCAGGCTCAAGGTTGACTCAGCTTTCCATCCTTCTGAGGTCGGTAAAATGAGAACCCAGATTGTTGGGGGCAATATGCTGACTCTGTAAAATGCTTAGAGAGGACTGTAAAAGTACTGTAAAGTGGTATATAAGTCTAAGTGCTATCGGTATTGCTATCACAAAAATAAGCTATGTTAGTCTAAAAAATGCTTTCCTCTTCATCTTCATTGCATTTGGCTCTTTAAGGAAAGTGTTTTCTGTGTAGAATATCATGTTCATACTGGGCATCAAGGATAAAATCTGTAAAACAAGTAAAAATGTTGAGTCCAATATTTGGAAATGTATGTCACTGCACAATCACTTGCTTATGAACAAAGCTAAGGTTTAATGTTATTTGCAATTTTTTCAACATTGCAGGGTTCGTGTTATTGGAAGTGCTACTTTGGCACTCTGTCATTTAGCATCTGGGGCTGCAGATGCATATTACCAGTTTGGCTTGCATTGTTGGGATTTGGCAGCAGCTACTGTTATTATCAGGGAGGCAGGTGGAGTTGTGATAGATACATCAGGTAAGCAAATATATTTAAAGAAAGATAAAGTATAAATTGCACATGATACCGCTCCTTCAAATTCAATTTTTTTTTTTTTTTTTTGCCACAATCTCATTCTAGACTTTCTTGGAATTCCAATCTTTAGGAAAGAAAGTTCAGAAAAGTGTGAGGCCATATGGCAAGTAGTTGCCTTAAAAATGGGGAGGGAAGGAAGCTAACTTAGGTATGAAAGCCATTCTGTATTTCCAAGGGTTTAATGTACAATTTTAAAAGTTTGCAAATTCTGTGCTTATTGTACAGTTGAAGCCCCTAGGCCTTATTGTATTATTATGATGGGAAAATCATAATAAGGTAGAGAACTAGTATGAATAGAGCACGGGTTGGCTCAAAGCAAAACTTCCCATGTGTATTCCACAAGTGTTTTCGGTGATATCAAGATGACTTTAGGAAATAGAATGTCTGCCTTACCTTTGAGCCAATCTCTGTTCTATTCATACTAGTTCTCCACCTTCTTTTGGAAGGAGAAAAAAAAAAGACCAGTCAACATTCAAAAGAAAAATTTGGTATTTCCAAGCACTTGGGATCAATTAAATGGAACAGTTGACAAGAAACTTTACATATCAGAATAAAATTTAGTAATGTTCTTCCTATATATATGTCCCAGTTAAACGCACATAATGGACTACACAAGAAATAATTTGTGTCTTCATCACAAAAGAACATACTTTTCAATAAAATTTTCTCCTAGGTGGACCTCTAGATCTGATGTCATGTCGAGTAATAGCAGCAGGTACCCAGGAGATGGCTTCATTCATCGCTCAGGAAATACAGACTATTCACTATGGACGTGATGATGAGAATTGACCAGACATCAACTTAAAAGAATCTGAAATCTGGCCTTTTGGAAAAAATGTACTTCTTTTAAGATGGCTTTTAGAAACTGTTACTTCTTTGTTGTACAGTTTGTAAATCAAACATAAGTTGCATTTTAGGAAGGTGAAAGAGGTGTATTTGGGCATCTGCGTGTGGGTGTGCATATGTGTGTGTGTGTTTGGGACCTTTCCCTCTTTTTAATGAGAATATTTTTCAGTTATGTTTTTTTAATGTTAAAAGCTCTTTGAGGCTATAATAAAAGTGGAGATGTTTTTGGTTTTTACATAGAATGAGAAATAAACTTTGTTTCAGATCTCAGGTATTTTTTGTTGTTGTTCCACAGCAAGGAACAAGTACTGCCTCAAGTGCCCTCATCCAAAAATACTTCAGTAAAATTACTATTTTTTTTCTAAATTTAAAGCAGACCTACTGAGCAGCTCTTGAGTTAGATACATTTATTTATATGGTGTACACAAGCATGATAAGGATACATATTCTTAGAAATCTATATTATCCTTGGATAAATAAACAGATACTAAAAGAGCTGACTAAGGAATGAAAAAAAAATCTTTTTGAAACATTCAAATCTTCTTTCGCTTGATTCAAACCCTAGACTATAATAACATGTTTTTAAAAATAACATGTAAGTTTCACTAAAATGCTACTATTCTCAAGTTTCTTACTAAGCACATAGGTAGTCTGATACCCAGTGTATAATCAGTGGTAATTATATGAATGGAGTAATATATATTTTGACCTCTGCTGGATATCAAATGTCCAAGTTACATCTCTTGGTGACTTCATAGATCTATCCATGTAGTTTTCTTGATAACAATACAGAAGTTATTTTTGTTGCCTTCTTCCAGGATACTATGCTGACTCTGTAAACCGCTTAGAGAGGGCTGTAAAGCACTGTGAAGCAGTCTATAAGTCTAAGTGCTATTGTTATAGTGTTACATTTGTTTTTGTTTTTTACTTTTCAGTCTAATCTAAAACCCTGAATATTTTCAGGAGTTTTCTTCTGTAATCTTAATTAGGCCCACCTCCACTTAGCTTTCAAACCCAGGCAGGTGCTATTATGTGCTGAGATGGCCATTGTGTATCCTTGAATGATTATTGTGGAGAAAAATAATCTATCAAAGCAAATTCAAAACTATCAGAGAAATTCCTGAAATGCTGAGTTAGTACTCTTTGAAAATGCTTTATAGCTTATCCTGTGTAACAGAACTGAAAAGAAATATCTCACTGTTAATACAAAAATTGTGGTTGAACACGTCACAAGAACTACCATTTCCTTGGATGGAAATGGGCATGACTTGGCTGAGTTTTCATAAGCAGCACATAAGGTGGCAAAGTTTTAGAACTTTGGTTGACATAATGAAATGTTACATGATAAATAAATGCCTACGAAACAGAAATTACAATGAAAGGGATCCTACCCTAATCTTTTCACTGAATGCTTGTTTTCTATGCTTGAGTATTATAAATTGTTGTGACAAGTTCTTATGAGCCCCCCTCTTGGCATTCCAATTAGTACAATTTAGGAATAGTTTACTATTTTACCTCATTGTCAAAATTAAGCTTTAGATTTATGTGAACTAGAGTTATTGACAATGACTGTATGGATTAGATACTGAAACTGATAATCTATGTTCTGTCAAATGCTAGAATATTACATTGGCCATAGTGTACCTTGTTTTCTCAATATCTTTCAATTCTAAACGCAGTGGAGATAAATAGCATTTATGATACTTCTAAATAAAGTAATAATAAAGTAATAATTTAATTTAAACCTGAGCCAATTATCCCTGTATGTATGAAGCTAAGAATTTGGCCCAGTCTCTTAAATATTGAAGATATATTTTCTGAGAGATTTTAAAAATTAGATTCTCCAGTTTTAAAAAACATGTATAGTGGATTGGAACCAAATTTAATTCTAAGAATAGACCTATCAGAGCAATAGTACCTCATTTAAATACATGTTTGCAATAAAGAATTTGCACCTGCTAGTTTTTGCAGCTGCTGTAGAATATGTTGATAATTATTAAAGTCACTGAACCACTGAACAAGAAATTCTTCCTCTATTCAACTCTATTACTGAAAATTTGCCTCCCTGGAATTAATCTTTGTATGTGTGCAAAAGTTCATCAAAGATTTCACTGTGTGATGAGAACTTTGTTACCCATTGTTAATTGTGTTATAATAGCAGTTGCCGATGAATCATTTCTTCCCTTCTGTGCCATTAATGTGCTATCTGTATCAATTGTCTCATTTTTCCGTATTAAGGAGCTTTATGGTTTGAGTACTTAGGAAATTTGGCATATCTTAAAAAATGAAATTTTGAAGATAATGTATATAATAGAGCTGTATTGTGCAGTTAAACCAGAAGGGCCTAAGAATACAGGTAAAAAACCACTAAAAACAAAAGCCATCAGAGATCATTCTACTTCAGTAAATGTCTGTCAACTTCTTTGGTGACAGATGCCTTTCTTCATTTACCAACTACATAATAATGAAGAAAACATGAGCATTTCCCTTCCATCTCCCCTTATGAACAGAAAATTCCTGCCACTTAATTTCTTTCTGTCTGCAGTCATCAAGATACAATTAAAAATCAGACAAACTTAATAACTGGAACATTAAATGAACTGAAACATGAAGTGATATATTAATAAGAGATTAGGACAGGATCATAACATATGATAAACTGCTGTCACATAAATGTTTAAAAATGATAGTGCATGCACTTTTATGCACTTTTGATTTTACAATAGCACTTCTATAGCACTTCAGAATGTTCAAAAGCACTTCCTCAATATCACTTGCAAACCTTATACAAAGACATTCTTCCAATATTCCCCTTATGTAACAAAACATAAGTGGATTATTTTAATGAGTAAATTAGTGGCGGGCACAAAATTCAAACAGAATTTGCTCTTAGTAACATAGGACTAAACTGTATGTTATGCTATATCTGAACTTTTGTGTATGTTGCTTGAGTTAAGAAGATGCAAAATGTGATCTGAAGCTATATGCCCATTTTTTCTTTAGTTACAAATGTGATGAGGAAAATATTTTAAATGTGAAAAAAGATAGAATTAGAATTAGAATTCTTTTATTGGCCAAGTGTGATTGGACACACAAGATTTTGCACACAAGTCTTGGTGCAAATGCTCTCAGTATACATAAAAGATACATTCGTCAAGAGTCAAAAATCATAAGGTACAACACTTAATAATAATTATAGGGTACAATAATACATGCCTTTGTTGTATCAGTAATTACTGAAGACTAATTCACTAAACTTTATGCATTGCTAGAATATAGGCACCAGATTTAGACTTGACTATGATCCATATTAACTGTCCCATTAATCCCTTTAAAAAGTGATCTTGTAGGTAGCAATCTGAATAGAAATCATGGAAACTAGGTTTTTGTTCCCATTCTGTAGATCAAAAGGAACATACCTGGTTGTGAATTGTTCTTCACGGAAGCTAATATTAAAGTCCATAACAATCTGAAGGAGTAATTTGTCTGAAGCAAATTCGGGTGAACAATATTAATTTACCAATGTACCAGAGATGCATTTTTTAAAAAACTGATATATATATGAAGGCATCAAATAAGAATTTCACATTTAGTCTTCTTAATTTTCCTACCCTTCATTTTCCATTTTTCATTAGTTTCTAGGAAGTTAATCTCTTAGTCATTATTTTCCTATATATGCTTTATAACAGAGCAGATAACCTAAGGCTCGTAGGCTAATTTCCATTTTTTGTGCAATGGATCAGATCAGATGTCTGGGAAGAAAAATCTCCAAAAAAGGTTACAGTATGTGAAAAAAGTGGATATCCTTACCCACTTTGAGTTCTTGTCATAGCCTCCTACTGTTTATCCCTGAGTAAATGTAGAATCCTTGAAAAAAAGTGTGCCTACCTGTACTTTACAGAAAAGCTTTTAGGTAGAAAAATACAACAGAAATTACTTGGCTATCAAGGTGGTACGGTGACCTATTGAATATTTTGCATGTATAAGGTATTCAAGAGCTGTACAGTCATGAGTTCTTATGCATCTTTATTGCAAGCACTCTGAAACACATATATATATACCTTACGAGCAATTTGATGTTATGTTCTTGTTCAAATTCTGTATTACTGGTTGTCTGCTATTAATCTGGACATTTCTACCTCATAGGGGGCTATGAGGAATAATGTGTAATTATTATTCAGTAGATTAAAAGTTGTTTCCAATGGATAAAGAACTACATGATACCTAGAATTTTTATTAATGTATGTTTGTCAAAACAGCTTCGTTTTCCAATAAAACCAAGAGGCAAATGTGTATTATCCAACTCTTTTTCTGTTTTTTTTTTAACTTGAGAGGAATTATATAGATGTCTGGTCTAGATGTATATAGGAACTTACCCATTTTCCTCAGAACCTTTGTTCAGAAGAATCTTGCCTCACAAAAATGTAATAGAAAAAAAACTCAACAGCATACAGTACAATATTTTTTCTAAAGAAAGAAGTAAGAGTAGAAAGAGCATTAGAAATTAAGATAAGGATATGGCCAACATGTATTTCATCCTAAAGAAGAAAGGGCAGCTATAAGATATGTATTGTATAGCTTAGCCACGATTAACCAAATTGTCATCTTTGGAAAACACTAGCCTAGGTTGAGGCAAACCTATATTCTATAACACAAGCAGAACTACTAAGCTTCTATAGCAGTGGTTCCCAACCTTTTTTTCACCCTGCACTCCTAAAGAAATTTCACTCGAACTTTGCACCCCCTGAAATAAATAAAAAATAAAAATGCCAACATATAGCCAATATCCTATTATTTACCTGGACTTTTCTCATACCCCCTGGAATATCATCTCGCACCCCCAGGGGGTGCGAGCACCCCAGGTTGGGAACCCCTGTTCTATAGCACCATCATTTCTTCCCAGTAGAACTGCAAGTGGGAAAATAGAAACAATATTAAATATTTTACAATCACGTCTGAGATTATCTGGATGTTTAAGTATATTTGTCTCCTGCAGATTTTTTTTTTTACCATTATGTTTACTATCACAATGTCAATTGCTTATATTTGTTTCTAATTCTTGTACACCACCCAAAATCACATGGAAGTGGGCATCCATACAAATTGAAAAAATAGATTACAATCCTTTTCTGTCTATCTGAAATAGATCAGGAGAAATTTAGATAACCCTTTATTTATTTATCAAGGCTAACTTCTGTGATACTTTATCAGAATTATTATACTTATACTTCTTATAATGAAGTATTGGAAACTTGGCATATTTTTAAAATGCATTAATAAATAAGAACTACATGGATTTATCAAATATAAGTCTTGCAAAATCAACTTTTATAGTTTAGTTTGATAAATCATAGTGTGTTCAGGAAATAGGATTACTTCACTTTCCCCTAGTTCTGACTGATTCCATGCCTCTATTTTGGCTTTATTAAAACTTGCCTTAAACTGTCCAGCATGCTAGGACTTCTAACATCCTAAACTTCATGGAAAGCTATAGTGATATACAAGTGAAATTGAGTATCTTCTCTCCAGACCTTCTGAAAGGTTGGAAAGAAAAATAAGCAAAGTTGAAGGGTCAAAAGGATGTAAGGATAGCGTAGGTACATAGGTACTTTCCTCAAATTTTTATTCCCCTGCATTAGTCAAGAATGTCTGAAGGGTGGAGATTTATGAATATAGTATATATAATTTTCAGCAAAGCATTTGACAGTCTCAAAATTTTGTTCACAAGAGCAAATGTGACTCAGTTGATCCTGTTCTTTGACAGATCCAGATTGATTGAATAACTATTAACAGCTCTGGGTAAATGTGGAAGAAAGTAACACAGGAAGTACAATGTCCTCTAGATGTTTGAGCTTATCATAAACTAAGTTTGCAGTGCAATGCTACTGTGAAACAGTTTGTGCAATTTTATACAGCAAAAACAATAGTATAAGAGCATGAGAACAATTCTAAATGCTACTCAGGTCATATATGAATTTTGTGTCTGCTCTGTGTATCATAGTTCAAGAAACTCATTAATATGTTAAATGTGCAGCCTGAGGAAGGGGAGCTATAATTCACTTAACAGTAGAAAACCTGGCATATCCAAGCCGATCTGGAAGGCAGTAACTTTTGCCTGAATATTTGGACAACTGTTGCCATTATGTGTCAATAATAATTGGATCAGATGTCTATATAAGGATCTCTTATGGATTCCGAGTAGCGAGTGACAGAACAAACCAAATTCTTCCAAACCTGGTTTGAAAGAGTTGGTTATGTGTAAAAGGCAAAGGGAAAGGGCGAGGGAATGATAGATTAGATTATAGATTATCAGAGTTGGAAGGGACCTTGTAGGTCATCTAGTCTAACATCAATGCGACCCACCCAAGCAGGAGACCCTACATTCTGACAGTTGGCAGTCCAGTCTCTTCTTGAAAGCCTCCAATGATGAAGCTCCCACAACTTCTGAAGGCAATCTGTTCCATTGGTTGATTGCTTTGTCAGAAAATTTCTCCTTACTTCCAGGTTGAAACTCTCGTTCAGTTTCCTGAACAGTTTCCTTGTTCATTTTTAAGTATCTAAGAATATGAATAGTGGTCAAGATTTTTGTTTCCTAGAATCAAGAATCAGATACAACGCCTTCCCTGGAAAAGTAAATACGGAATTGTGAAAAATGGATTAGAGTAAAGCCATGCTATTTCTTGTAGTATTATACAGCTATAAAAGGTGAACAGAAACGAGAAGGGAAATGCCTTCACATTATAAATTTATAGATCATGGACTGCAAAAAGACCCAATCGGCCTTGTGCCAAAAAAAAAAAAAAAAGCATCGGGCGCCACCCAAACGAAGATAAGCACAGTCTGAAATCATTTCCTTTTTGCGTGCTGGATTTCTCTCCCCTCTTTGGTCTCTGATCAATGGGCGGTTCTGCTGCTTAAAGGACAAGGAGGGCGGGGCGCCCTTGCTCATAAGGAGCAGCGGAGGGGCCCATAGGCGAGGAGGAAGAGTAGCCGACGATGGCTGTGGAAAGCGCTCGTGACTATGCGGCGGTTTTGTTGCGGTAAGTACGCTACAACGTAAACCGGCAACCAGCCCGTTTGCGGAACGCGTGTGTGTGAACGCGCGGTATCTTAGTTACCAAGGCAACCTGTCGGGTTTTGTTTCACCGCCCGGTGAACTCGCCCCACCGGTCACCTTCCCGCAGCGTTGAATTTTCTAGGCAGGGAAGCGCCTTTTTCTCGCATTCCTCTGTTGCCTCCCCCTGACTCAGCCATGACTGCACATTTGGTCCTCAGTCCGGACTCGGCGCGGACCACCAACTGTTGGTCCTCTTAACTAGGTGCTTTCCGGTTCCCGTTCCTCTTGTAGCTTCGCCGCCGCCGCCCCCTTAGCTAAGTTAATAGAGAAGCGAACGGTGGGGAGCCTCAGGTTGCCGTCGCCCTAAGAGGAGCTCAACTCCTGGGAGGAAAGGAAAGCTACCTTCCTCCCTGTGCCTCTCTTTTGCCTACTTTTTACATTGTGAAAAAGAGGAGTAGGCTGCTTGTAGCGCTTCACTTCTTTATACTTACAAGGCATTGCTAAAGTAAAATGGCTTGTTGCAGTGGCATCGTAAAATTGCAGTTTCATCTGTATTCCAAAAAAACCTGCCCAGTTGTTGCCATAAGCTGGAAAGCATGGTATATTTGGGAAGCCTTTTTTTTCTTTATTGGAATGGGATTCTGAGCCAAATATTTTTACAGTTTTTAACTATTAAGCCATTTAGTATAAACCAAAGCAGTGGACAAAGTTAGGGTACAAGCCAATTTGTTGTAGGAACCCAGGCAGTTTTGTTAATCCAACAAACTAGGTCAAGTGTTAATCAACCACTTTCGATGAAAAGACTAAAAACACAAGGAAAAAATGCATCTGAGAAAAGGTGTGGGGGGTTGAAGGGTAAGAAAAATAAGACTGGTGTGTTGGACAAGCATACAT